CACAAAGAATCGAGGCTCGGTCGGTTGTTGCCTTCGCGTCGGCCTCTTTATATCATCGCTGTCTTGTGGTCGACAAAAGAATGAATGTGAACGCGTTTGTGCAATCCAAAAGAGGACACTACAATATACCATTCAGATTATAAACGAGCTGTTCTAATAGCGATCTATTTATCGCATATACAAAAAATATTCATTCCATTCTTAAGAGGGAATGAACGTCCATTGTGAATGATTTCACTCGGCTGGAAGTCCTGAAACTTCGGGTTTGTCATTTTAGGTCAAAACCACCAGTATAACGTTTGAATTGCCGTAGATGTGTCTGTGCTAGATACTACTTGTTGGATTACATGCCATATATGACTTAAACGATTAGTATTTTTGTATATTTTTTGCTCGACGTTCCATCTCAATTCGATCAAGCCACTTACAATGTCATTTCAACGTGACTATTGTATTGAAATAATAGCAAATTATATTCAGTGACTGAAGTCACTCTTATCGTGTCGCTGCCATTGTTATCATGATTTCAAGGCAAGGTCGTATATTACAAGTCCTTAAACGTTTGCCTGTTTCTTTTATTTTAACAGCATTTTACTGTACACATCATTTTATTTTCTTTTCGGGTTCTGTTGTTACTAGTTAGTGTTTATATATTTAGAATCAACATAGCATGTTGTAAAAATCGTTTTATGCAAGTTTAGCTTCCCTGCACACAATGGTTCAGTTCAATACCCCCCTTTATGCTTTTTTAACGATATTTTTGGACAGCGCTCTTGGCTATAAAATTTGTTGCTTTTACTATTCGCTGATGCTTAGGCAGCTGCTATTTCATTAGCGATATCAAATATATCTCACCTATTTCACCACGTAAATACGTACAAAACTCACATGCTTGTCCTCCAGAAATTCAGATCTACGCAACTCTTTTGCGCCTTCCAGTTCTTTCGAATTGTTGATCATGTTCTACGCTTCATTGCTAGAGTTGCTAATAATTTTAATCCGTATTTAATCGCTAATTGATATACGATTACATATGGGCACTTCAAAGTTTTTACATTTCGGTAAATTCTTATTGTCATTTGTCCTCTCGACGTTTAAAAAAGTTTATCTTGATTAAATCGAGGGTTTGTTGCAATTCTATATCCTGCGATTCGAATAATTTTAAGTAATTCGCTATTTTCACATTATGTTTTTATTTTGTTAATTGATTTGAGTGATTTTCGAAAAGCGATAAGGAATTCTGTTTTTAAAAGTAAATTATAGTGTATATGTGTCCGACTGTCCACCAGGCGACTTCACTACGGATTGGCAGACTTCACATATCTTAGAATTTTTTGTGACTCGGGTTGCTCGGGCATATTGAATTTAAAGCGAGCGCCTGAGCGTCACTGAGTTATAACGTACCGAATTATGATTGACTTACACAAAATTCAGCGTGGTATCGCGTGCTAACAATTGTAACAACTATCGGATTAGAGCGTGTTGGCACGCCACTCTTGGTCCCATTGGCTGGACGTTTGGCGGCTTATCTTGGGGAAGCATCGGTGTCGTGCCGGTAAGCTCTGGCAGTCCGCCAACCGCCGTCCATGCTCCCATTACAAAAACCATACGCCGTCGCCTCACAAATGTACTTCAGATCGCGTACTTCACGTGAATCGCTTTGCATGCATTAACGTGGGTTCATTCCCATGTCGTGTTGAATTACCATTGACTTGTATCATCTTTACGCCGCTGCTGCTTTATACATCAAATAAAAGGACTGCTGCTTCTGTTGTATCATATAGATCATTTTCGCACTCGAATTTTGTAATCAATCACTTTAGAAAGCATTTGAAGTCATCGGTTACAAAGTCATTATTCGTTATTTACGTCGTTACATTAGTTCGTTAATTACGTTGTTACAGCAACGTAGCAGTTTCTGTTACTCCTTTTATGGCGACCTCTCAAAAGGCCGGCTTAATGTGAATCATTAACACTTTTGTTTCGATTTTGCGGATGTGTATGTACAGCCGTAAAACCCATCGAGTGGAACCTCTAATCGATCGCTTTTATCTTCTACATACCAAAAACTCTACCGCAAAAGCAATATAATGAAGTATTTAAGAATAATCCGGACTTCGCGTTGTTTAGGCTACTGTTGGCTATGCATAAGTTAAGCCATACGAGATATTATACCCTTATGATACGTAAGAAGGTGTTACAATCAATTGATTTCTCGGAAGCCGCCACGGAAGTACGGCATTAACAAAGATGATTTCTGTACTTAGGCGTTCCATAAGTCCGTTGCGCATTCCGCAGTAGTACAACAATGTACGTCAGCCAGCGTCGTCCGTTCCAGCTGAAAGAACTCCTTGAGACGGCCTTCGGTTGAAACCTTGAACTCTTTTAAGTAAAGTACCTGATTTGGACGTCATATTGTTAAAATAAAACTTAAAAATTGAATTAGGATTATAATACAAAATAATATTATGTTATAAAGGATATGTCATTGTATAATAGTTTTTTTAAGTTGTAACATGGCTTGTTGGCTGGACTTGACGAAAAAAATGTTTTTTTAGTCACAATCTCTTGATAAGTATATACCATAAGTACTTATTTATTCATACCAATATGCCGTTTCAACCTTACTAGTGCTTCGATTTCTGTTAAAAGATATTATTATTTTTATTTTAATATAAGATAATGCCGTGTTGTAGATGCTGTTTATATAATTAGGTACAAACTTCCAGATCCAGAACAACGATTTACTTGTATATGCATGTGCTTTACATAATAAAGCAGACTTACGAAAGATTTTGCAGCTAATTTCGTAATTTCAACTCGTTATTCCGTGTCATCCGACTCCCACAGCAAACTTTCCATCGAGACAATGGATGTTTTGTGAATTTCACTTTTTTGCGAACGCATGTACTATGCGCGGACGTAAATTCGTTGACGACTTCTTCCTTGTTTCAGGTTTTTGTTGAACTGGTTGAAGTCTTTGCAGTGCCACAATTATTGCTATCCGGTTCATTGTTTGAGTTTCCCACAAACACTGATTCGTTTTTCTATTCATACGTTTCACTTCTATTTCTTTCTATTAAGTAAGAATTTTGAAAGTCAAAGTACTTAAGAATTTTGAAAGTCAAAGTACTTAAGAATTTTGAAAGTCAAAGTACTTAAGAATTTTGAAAGTCAAAGTACTGTAAGACTTCTCAGGTGCATTATGCTCATGAAAATACCAAAAGGCCAAAGTGAAATTTTTTTTTAAAGTTTTTGCACATGTCCGACATACCTAGAGTCAGCCATTTTTATAGTTCCTATACGTAGAAGAATGGAGTGATGACTTGATGCCGTAACTGCCAAGCCATTGGCTTCGGTGCTCGGGATCGTACGTTCGATTCCCACACGGGACAAGTATTTGTGTGACCAACAGATAATTGTTTCGCATTTGTTCCAAGCAGGCAGCATCAGGCAGGCGGTCGTAAAAAAGGATAAGATACTTCGGGTGAAATAAGCAAACATAGAGGAATAGAGTTTTTATAGTCAGAGCCATTATTTAGTGTAATTTATAGAAAATACTATTGTCTTAAATCTACTCATGTTTAGATTTAGATTGTAATATTTCTGACGCCAGTTTTGCATGTCATTCTACGAATCAAACATTGTAGCAAGAAAATTACATTATAAAAAGAAATAGAAATAAATCATTTTCTCGTCTGTTCACGCAGTACTCTCACGCACGCGGTCTCATTAGGAAGCGGGAGGTGTCCTGATATTCTTAGCGTCGAGCACTTTGGTTCTTGGCTTGGCTTGTAATGTAATAAAGTGTTTCCTATGCCCCATGCGTTGAGTACAGCTTGTAAATAAGTCCGAATATTTATCAACCAAAACGACACCAATCTATGGATTTGATAGTATTCACCTAAGAATGAATTGTGTTTAAGGCCTATGCAACAGCGATAATTTTTTGATTTTTTGGGGTCAAGGGCGGGTCAAATGTTAGGATAGTTTTGAGGAAATCTTCTCTGACATTGTCAAACAGAGCAACTTGAAATCTTTTCTTTCATCCGAGACAGTTGTTTGTATGTTTTCCTTTTCATGGTTTCGATAATTGTGTAACGGGATAATTAAAATAGGCTTCAAGCTACTCCTATACCATATCCTCACCTCGGTCTGCACGTAACTAGATCAAATCATTGTCATTTCAGATTTATTCTAATTTTAAATGTGAAAATTTCAGTCTTGCATCTTCTTTTCATATTTGAAAGTACACTTAACCCGTCCCGTGTCTCGAACGAGCGTAGTGGGACAACGAAGATTTTTCCCCTTTTGTTCGTAAGCCATTCATTAGTCGAATGCTGTGCCGGCAGTCTTCAGCCTTTAAAGGGGGCATTGAACTTCGCGATTGTTTCCAGGCGGCTCCTTATGATTTTTATGGTAGTGTCGCAACGTGTTTTACGGGTTTCTCTGAACCGTTTTTCGGAATTGTGTTGATGCAAACAGTATGTTGAAGTGCACGACAGTTTTCTCAAATGTGTGTCTTTCATATTTGCATTAACAACATATGTAAAAATCGCAAGTAATAATCCATCCGAATGTTCAGATAAAGCACTACTTATACTATACTTATACTATATTACATACTTATACTATATACTTATACTATATTACAGCTCTGTATTCGAAAGACTGAGGATATAGATAACAATGACATCGACGAATCCAAATGCCGCATTCCGTTCGCTATTGACTTCGACGTTATCGTTACCTTGCAGATTACCCTGATTACATACAAAACTGGGTGTATTGCATACGGCCGATATAGGCAGCGCAACTGCTTTTGTGTTAAACTCAGTGAATACGAAAACAAGTCCGTCTCTGGTACCCGAACGAATCGTGTTACGCGCGGATGTGGTGAAAAAGAGTGAGTGAAATAAAAAAGAGAAACAAACGAGTGTCGTGCAACCAACTGTGTGCGGGCGTTCGAACCGGTACCACGTCCCGGGCGATGAGTCAGGATGAGCACGGAGCGCCGTCTCTCGCGGAGCTTCCACTCGTGCCTGAAGGGCTCCTCCACGGAGGAGGCGGTTGACGAGGACGAGAGCTGCTACCACTCGCTGGGCGGGCGGCACTCGCTGAGCCGCCAGCCCCAGGTGTACGTCGAGGACCTATCCAACATCAACCTGGCCGACTTCGACACAACCCAAGACGAGGTCGACGGTTCGTATGCTGTTGGAATACAATTTTTGCATTTTACTCCATGTCTATGCCATTCGACAAGACATTTATGCGATTAAGTTGCGACGTTGCTGTAATATTATTATGTTTACTAGCCGGGTTAATAATGTGGAAGATAAAAGCCGGCCTACCCGAGCTGTTGTCAGCTTTTTCTTGGAACTATGCCGTTCGAACGCCGCAGTCTGTTCGGAGACCTGATACAGTTAAGTGTAGGAACACTAATGTCGCTCCTAATGCTTGCACGGGACGGGAGGATATAAATAAAGTAATTCAAGCGGTAGACACATTACTATAGTTTGATTTAATATGGTTAAGAAATTAATCTTTAGTACGTAATAAATACGTAATTTTGGGTTTGCGTACAGTGAATTCAGTTAATTTTTATAACAGCATAACACAACCGTCCATACGTATGTTATTTGAGCGTGTTAGTTCAAATTAATGAAGTTAACTAACTTTGGCTATAAATTTTATTATTACAATATTTATTTATTTTTTTCGAGACAACGGTTTTCGGTTGCTACATGCCTTTCCCATCATTGAATGACTCTTATTTAATAGGCACACGAAGAGATAAAAATATATAATAAACTTGTTTATGTTAATCTATACAATGGCTATACTTATTGTATATAGGTTTTAAAACAACTTTTAGCTCCTACCGGAAGGAATAAATTGACATCTGCCATGGCCAGTTGTAACAAATAATTACATACTAACCTAATTCTAATGCTTTTGAGATATAATGATGATAATATGCAGTTTTGTTGAACGGATTCGAAATCCTAGTAGAAAGTTACAGTCCAGTTACATATGGATGTAGTAATTATCTTAGAGGTTGCATTGAAATAAATTAAGGAAAACCTTATCTAGCACATTTATGCCATGGCCAGGCGTGGGCCGCACGGGCTGTCGCACCAAAACCGCGGAGTGTCTGTACCACACTGTTATAATAGTTGAGTCTACATATAACCCTAACGAGTAGAGTAACTTTATCTTTTTCACGTAAGAGACGTTATATAATAAAAAGTGGTTTACTTTTGCGTGTCGCTTAGCGAAGCCCTAGAAGTACGAGGCGATAACGTCTTGCAGTTTAGTGTTAGTCTTAGTTTGCGGAATAATTGTGACTGTTATTTGTACGTTTTGTTATTAAACAGTCGGCTTAGTTTTAGTGAGTGGCGTTATTAGTTTTTATCGAATGAATGATTTAAAAGTTACTTCATCTTATATATTAAAATGGATTGGTGTTCGTAAGTCTCGCTAAAACTCGAGAAGGGCTGGACCGATTAGGCTAATTTTGGTTTTGAAATATTTGTGGCAGTTCAGGGAAGGTTTAAACGATGAGAAAATATGGAAATATTGCATGTTCCTATTTGTCAAACATTGTATGGGTGCGTTCCGAATTCTTTTTCTATGTGTTCAGATAACTAGTATAAGAAATTATTTATATGGTAAAACAACGTTTACCGAGTCACCTAGTAAGGTATAATTTTACAATATTACAAAACAGTTTTTGTTCGGAATACGTTTGTGTAAAATTTTCTAAATCTAGTATGATATGTATAATTTATAGTATTTGATAGTAATGATATGTAAATTTTTCCGTAAGGGACACAGACAAAGCAATGCTATATTACCTTAATAATATCACTTAATTAAATGAACCTGCGACATAAACAAGCTTATTTGCACTAATTTCTTCTTTCTTTCTATTTGCACTAAATTTGTTTTTTGTTCCAATGGCACATAAGATAGTAAAACCTAAAATATCTTCAAGTTTTAAATTTGCGTTAAATTTTAACAATTTGCTTCTTTGGAGATATAGTGCTCTTGACATTGACGTAATCATTAGCGTTTCTACTTACCGTGTGAGTCATATAACGCCGGATATGTAATACTTGATTTTAGAATCTCTGTATCAGCGATTACACAATTCACGCGTACGTAATTATTCTGGTCGCGTTTCATTCTCTCGTCTCGCTACAACACTACGCCGGTATCGGACGCCGAACGTATGATTACACTTTTGCCTATACTAATACAGGCTTTGTTATAAACGAGATACATTCCGACATGTACAGTGTCATCTATATTTTATCGATCTACGTTATGTCTGTACATACACGGGGCTACTACTTCACTGAAGAAAAGTGTTAAGTTGGATTTGTACTTTTGTTTTTTGTCTGGTAACCACCTCACGGTGATCGATATAAGGTTGGCATGGCACCCGCAATAACACTGGCGGTTAGCCCTTACCATCATGTGAACTTTATGCCCGTTTGCCGCTTTAAATCTATAATATTTATTATAAGACGACCAGACTGGCGTAGTGGGTAGTGTACCTCCTGGTTTCTGCGCCAGAGCGTGTGGGTTCGATCTCCACTACTGGAAAAATATTGTGTGATACACGTAGTGCTTTTCTAGTGTTTGGGTGTTTACATATGTATAATATGTATTTATTTACCAAATAAAAGTATGTTTAAGTATGTTTATCAGTTATCTAGTACCCATAGTACATGCGTTGCTTAGTTTTGGACTAAAGAATGATGTTGTGTAAAAATGTGTCTAGAACAACTTATGCGCAATATCGAATTGTTTGAGGCTTTACGTATACCGTCACGCACGGCTGTAAGCGACGCACCTGTGTCGCTCGGAACTCTGCGCTGGCGCAACCGGCCGCGCGCATCCGTTTCCTGTGTTGTTGTCCCTCTCGCACCAACCCTTCGCGCGGCCGCACTTCCGTCCCGCTTTTGTTGTGCCACGGGCGCGGACAATGGCGTCGATTTGTTATCTGGCGCTGTCACGTTTCTGCTCTCGTTAATTATGTCACCGATTTTGCTCTGCACGTTGGGGAATTTTGAATTAGGAACCGTGGTTCCATTCGCGGGTGAAGCGAATATTAATACGATTCACAGGGATCAACTAATATTATGAAACGGAAAAACCCGTCGGTCTGCGTAGCGATTTGTGCAAAGGATAAACTGTTAACTTCGGTTTTACCGTACGTCTTTCTTAAAACTAAGATGAGTCACTTACTAAAATCAATCAAGTTTAGGTAAGCTTGTTTAAGAAATGTGTATATCTTAAACTTAATTATTACGTATGTGAAACTGACGATTTGTTGAAGTATGCACGAATAGTTTCTTATTCGCGTTTATATGTTTACAATGTGTTGCCCTTTCGATAATTAAGTCATACTTTCTAATGTACGACAAAATTTGCGTAAAGGGTAGTAAACCTGGCCTTTGTTCCATAGGGTTCGATCACACTATTGGCAAAATATTGTGTTTTTCCAGTATCTGGGGATTTATATATCTATAATATGTATTTAATTGCAAAAGAAAAGTATGTTTATCACTTATAGCGATTATAGGACTAGAGAATGATGTGTAAAATTGTGTCCCGAAATATTGATTTATTCATTTTACTATTAGTACGTTTTGGCGACTTAACCTAATTTATTGTCCAAATTTCGTCAGCAACTGTAATATCGGTTTCAATCACTTTACATGCATGCCTTGCCTTGTTGTTAGCTATAGAGGCAAATATAATTGTGGGCATCCGTCTTCAACTGCAAGCGGACAATCGCGTCGGATTCTTCGGCATGCCACCTCGTTTGTAGGGGCGAGTTTTTGTCCCCGCCAGCCATCGCAAACGGAAGCCTCCGGTTCTGATGGCTTGCGTACGTACATAATTAAACTCTAGTATGTTCGGATTCCGCGGCGTTTATCTATAACTGGCTGTATGTTTGCTGTATCAGTTTGTACAACAAAGGACAGATGTTCTTTTATTTTTGGTATTAGGGTCTGCCTAGTACTTCATTGCTATCCCATCTGATGGTTATTAGCGATACAGTCGTAGTGATAAACGCACTGGTTCAGTAAAAGTTTGTTCACTCTTGCCTCGAAGACACTAACGTTGCGTTACTGGTGTGGTTGCGTGATTGGGGTCGAAAATAAAAAAGATTATAACTGAATAGAGATTAAATAAAGAATGATTGTTTAATAGAAATATATTTTAATGGCTTTAGTTGAAATTTAACAATTTTGTTTGTGTGATTTTGTGTATTTCTTTTCGAAAGCTTTGTAATTCTTTATAGCCATCGTTTTGACATGTGTTTCGTGTCTAATGTCGACTACACTAGCATTGTGAACGGCTTCGCCTTCAATTAGCAAGCACATTGTCTCAATTAAAGCGTGTTTCGCCAAGCTAGTTCAGACATCATGAGGTCATTGGTGAGTTCATCGGAATACGCTTATTAACGAGTGTTTACCTCCTGTACTCGTGAACAAGTGCAGATTGTTTACGAAAGTAATTAAACATCCTGTAAATGTAGACGCTATTATTTACGCATATTAGGTTACGCACTAATCAAAAATTTCTTTCGCGCGCGCCGAGGAAATATATTATGACAAGATCACAAATGATGTTTTGATTTATCCCGTACATTGCACTATGCGAGTGCTATTTATAATGCTCTTGGTCACTCCCGTGGTATGAACGTCACAGCGAAACGCACATTTAGTATTCATTAAAGGCTTTAATAAAGAAACATTTCATGTGCCATTGTACGCTAAAACACATACGTGTATAATGGAGCAGTGAAAAAGGAACAGAAAACTGTGCTAAAGCGATGACGGCCTCGCGTTTGCTGCCTTTATCACGTGTGAAATGTGTGCTGGGCACAGGAAGTGATAGTGCGCACGTATATGTTTACTGATATTATTAAGGAATTAGCAATTCTTTGTACCCATTTCACTTACTGATATTTTGTGGCGATCCATTGATAACTCTTAGGCTTTATCTAGTTTTTATGATTGAATAAATTATGTAATAATGTACTATTTTTTTACTGTAATAAATAGTTCATTACAGAAATAAGAGTGGTCTCATAATTACTGAATGTTATAGTGTAGCAGTGCCCTCTATAGGGTTTTCTGGTCAAGCTCTGTATTGCCGTAGTTCTTCTACTCGACACTAGGTTGTACTGTTCGCCGACTTCGAAATGTTTTCCAAAGCTCTTAATTGTTAAGTAAAAAATATTTATTGCGTATAGATGTTTTGTTGTCCATAAAATAATTTTTGACAACTTTTCGATCTGGTTCTCTCTTTCTGAAATATAATCGTCATTTTATATAATTAATATTAATTCATGTGTATAGTGAAAAGTAAATTATGGCCTGTAATTTTCAAATGTTTGCTGCCTTTTTAGCGCTGTCGCCCTTTAAGTTCTTTCGGCCCAAGTAGTATCAAACAGTCGTAGTTTTGTGAGCTCGGAACAATACCGCCAAGAACCAGTTGGCTGGGTTCATGACCGGCGCGCTCGCCTCTCGCCGGACCTTAGGCCGTGATTTATTTAACATATTCACTCTCTCGTGGTGAGGACAGACTAGTACGAAAATCGTGTTACTATTACCGTAGTGAATGGAAGAGAAGTAATGGGCCAACGGTCACGTGGCTAGAAGTTGTGTATATTCCAATCCAATGTGTATATTGCTTTTACATATGTAACTATAGAATATTATGACGTCTAAAGCAAGACATTCAGTTATATGTATATTTTCGTAAGTATAGTTATGCTTTAGTTACGTTATGTTATGTTACGTTATGTTATGTTTTATGAGATGGAAATATCGTTGATGTGGTTGGGCCGAAATTAACAGATCACTACCAGAGTAGGTAAGACGATGGCCCATATAGACACCCAACGCATTTAACATTTTGATAAATCAATACTTACCAAAACATTTTTAAATTGATATCTACTTCGACTTAAATATTTCATTGTGTTTAGCGATTCTTTATATCAATATTAATTATTTCTATTATAAATGTTGGTACATTGCCTATATCATAATTAGGACTACACTTTTTAATTTAATAATTAAAATGTATGCCATGCGCCTATTTATTTTATAATAAAAATAATAAAATAAAAAGTTCTTTCTAGGTTCAGTTGACTACTTAATAAAAAACACATGCTTTTTTATTGAGTGCTTATGTAGTATTATTTTTATTTTGTTACGCTGATGAAGTAATACTTCTTTATAGTAACAAAATGAAAATAGCTAAATATTTTATCCCCTGTACCAGTACTCTTTTTTGTGAAAAATGCATTGAATGCAATTGATGATGGTTTAATTAAATAACTGAATTATAGGTAAATGTCAAATAGTTGTTATTAGTTGCTAATACCGTGAAATTGTTCGCTTTGCAACCAACTTCATCATGTCACTTTTTGGCTGTCGGTGTGCGCGCGCATCCTGAAAGTTTTATTATCATAATTTTTTCCAAACGCGCTAAAACAATTATAACTTCAAATATACAAACAAGATAACAGACTTACTAGAAATTATTAAAAATACTGAGTAAAATTAATATTTAACTTCAAAACCTTCCTTTGATATACAAAAAAGTAAAGAGTTATTTTAATATTACTTTTAAATGTTAATTTACTTTTACCTAAAACCTTCATCACTACATTATTACATAGTATAAAACAAAGTCGTCTCGCTATCTGCCTTTCCCTATGTATGCTTAGATCTTTAAAACTAAGCGATAGAGCGATTCAAGAGGAAGGTTTATATGTAGGTAATGCATTGCACCCGTGCAAATCCGGGGCGGGTCGCTAGTCTTCTTATATATAAAAATGGATTGCTGTTCGTTAGTCTCGCTAAAACTCGAGAACGGCTGGACCGATTTGGCTAATTTTGGTTTTGAAATATTTGTGGCAGTTCAGGGAAGGTGTAAACAATGAGAAATTATGGAAAAATTGTATGGAAAATCGAAATAGCAACAATTTTATTTTCCAATACAAACTGTACCTGTCAACTATGTCTGTGTAACCTGTCAAACACTTTATGCGTGCGTTCCGATTCTTCTAGAAATAATTTATATAGGAAAAAAAAGTATGCGCGAGTCAGCTAGTAATAAATAAAATCAAACGCCCGCATACTGATCTTGTAGCGCTAGCGTCCGAAGATGTCCGATGCTGTACGACGTAAGCCGAAGTTTTCCAATATGGCGGCTCGACGGCAGTTTGCCTCCCGCTTGTCAACAAAGTTATTCGACTTGACTCCGGCTGGTCCGGTGGCCGCGGCGCGCTTTGCTAAAATATTATGTTCGCTTGCATTCATCACAGTTCCGTTTTTATATGAAAAGTGTGTCAAAAAGTTGTGTTACAGTTTTGTTTAGTGCATATACATGAAAGTGAATATTTTAAAGTGCTACTATATGTTCAACTACTACTGAAATAAAAGTTGATTTATTTTTTTAATCAACTTTTGTGTATTTACGGAATGTTACTGTATAAGCTCATGGAGGAATTGTGATTTTAATAGTATATACCTATTTATTATATTGACGGCTGTTTAGTTTTGTTCTTTTATTATTATTTATAACCATTATAATTATACGTGTGCCATAGTATTGTAAACTCTATGCACCGTACAAAATATTGGTCTAGCGTGTTACACACTACTTCACGGTACGTTTGCTTTGTTCATTCAAGTTATCAACAAACAATAAATATACACCATTTCCAGTTTCTTCAACTTGTCTAGCGAGATTTACTATTGAGTGGAGCTGCGTACCGGCGTTGCATATATCTTTATGTTCTTAACTAGGTAATAATTATATGTATAAAAACCGCGTGGGTTAATGACTAGAGTAGGTAATTGTTTTCTGCATACCATGCGTTTACCAGTTTGCGATAGCCGGTATAAAAATATAAGTAAAAGTTTAGTATGGTCTCGTATAGTTTTAATTAATGTATCAAATAATATTAAAAATACAAGACGCTTAAAAGTAGATCTAACATGAACCATGGAGTATATTTTTATAATAACTTAATAAAATTATTCTGTTCAATAAGTTGGCCTTTTCTGTGTCTATTATTTGTTTACTTATTACTATTTCCAATAGTAAATATTTATGATTGATAATAAGAATAAATTGAATTAAAAAATAATCTCAAAATCATACTCTTTATTATCATTGAAATTCCGCTGCATATCGCGTTGTATTTAATTTTGCTGACATTGAATAATTACTGTTTCTACGTTTGCACGTGACATATTCATGTAGAATAGTAACATTATTCCCAATCTATCCGTGTCATTACGTCTACATTGTACATGTAAATATTGTTCATGTAAAAAAAAACTTATAAACCTATTTTATACTGCACTTTAATCGGTTATTTGATTTCAGTAATAAATAAAAAAAGTCGTTACTTGCCCTAATAATATATTATAAAATTCCAAGATGAACAATTTTTGCGTATGGTTGACAGTTACTTAACGATCAAAGAAATCCTATATTAAGGTCACTTTATGTGGACCGTTATGTGTCCTTGAAGCTAAATCATTTTGTCTGGTGGAGCGAGATGCCGCATAAATTCTTTGTCCACCCTTGTCCGGTAGGGTGGCCCATTTCACAGGCTCCTGGAATGCGTGGGTTTGCGTCTTTATTGGTCATGAAAGTTTAAATATGAATAAAACCTTACTTAAATACAGACGGAATAAACTAAAAGTAAAATTAAACGTTTCAGTTGTACAAAATTGCTTCTCGATTGAAAAACTATTTACTTAATACTTACAGAAAAAAAATTTTCATAGCTTACAATAGCCACGCATAATTTTAGCCTTAACGTATGGCTTCAAAGATACACGTATCGGCAAGCGAATACGAATGTGTATAAGCGCTATTATATGAACTTTCTTTAAAAATATAAGCTTGTATTGCAAAATTTATGAATAATTTTTTTAAATGGATTGTAATAAAATTTCCAATTTCTTATCGGTCTAGACCGAATTGAAGTAAAGGTTCGGCGAAGTCTAAATCAATATTGTTCCCTTTCCATAAATCCTTGTCTGTCAACCATAAGCTCGCAGTTGTTAACCATACAGAGCTTAAAGCTTGGCGCTTCCATTTATTATCAACTAAGAGATTGAAAGTTCTTTAATTTAACGTGTTGATATTTTTTCTTAATACGAATGTACGTTATATGAAACTGTTTATATTTTACTAAACTTAGGTAACTAGCCCAATATCTTATTTAACTCCTAAAGATAAGGATATGTACTCGTAGGGGTGGTGCTTATTTAAGAATGCATTGAAAACCAGAAGTCTTTTAACTTTAGTTTTTAACTTGAACTTTACTGAAATCTGTAAGATGAGTGATTATTTATAGTCATAAAACTAGACAACTCTTAAGCGTAAAACAGTTATAAATTAGTGATATAAATATTGCACGTTACAAAGTATCAACGCGCATTGTATTTCTACGTATACTTGTAATTTAAGAATTTATTCATGGTACAATGCTATTAGGTGTATTCAAATTGAATATTATAATGTATTCATAATAATCACTATTGAAAATTATTAATTAAACTTTAAACTTAATTTTAACTTTAAACTAAACACTATTTGTATAACGCCCAATACTCCTCTTAGAAAACTTTATCCGTAGAAGTAGAGTCATTTGTATTTAATAGTAATAGAGTTATGTCCATACTTCACGAAACAACATTAAAAAGTAAATGTATATAATTATAAAATGAAATCTTGAGGACAACATTTTTGACAGCAATCAAAAGTCAGTGTTTAAAGAATAAATTTTTAATAAATCTTTGATAAACCCCTTTTCTTAATCTTGCAAAGGCATCGATACGCAGTTGGTTATTTAAGAGATTGAGAATATCGTAGTATAAAATAAACTATAATCATACCCTTTGGGTGCGGAACCCTAAAAATCACTGGCCGTGTAACGACATGCTGATGACTAAATAAAAAACAAATGCCACGTAGGCGTCCTAGTGCTATTTATCTACGCACCCACACGTTTCCAGCGACTTTCTAACTGAAGCCATCGGTATCTTACTATCACGTAAAAAGTTTGAGCTCACATGAGTCAGTACGAGTCCCGCCGTACCAGGCGCATTCCTTGGCTGTCCGGCGCAGCGACAAACCGGACCTAGCGATGCCACGGGGCCCTTATTATAAAAAAATACACACACCGCTCGTTTTCACGTGGTCCCGAACGGGCACAAGAACATTACTTCGCGGGTGACGTTTAGTAAGATATTTTATCGTTCGTACGCATCTTGTAATGGAATAAAAGAAAACACAACACAGTGTTGTCCCGGTGATTACTCTTCCATCACCAAAACAAATTTTGGGGTCGATGACCTAACCAGCTAACCTTATACTATATTACACATCATATTAGAATTATTACAGTACGTTAATGGTTGTGACTTAGAGAACCATGTCATTTATCTGTTCACCGCCCCAGCGTAGTTTACTGTCCATATTATTTGCTTCTTTTGTTATTGGATTTTTTTTAAGTTGTGTTCGCCCGCCATGAAAACTCTTTTCTGCTCGATCCGTCGTTCCCGAAAGCTTTCAAATCTCCCGGAGGGTCCCGTGTCCCATTTCGCTTTGTGCGTAGTTTCCGGCCGCAGAGGGTCGGTGCTTTTTTGTCCGCCATCTGCCGCGTGCAGGTGACGCCTCCCATACTGAGCAGGTGATTCGAATTCACCTTGCCACACGTTGCTTTCGTAGTTTATGACCGGGTATTGACTATGAAACTTAATAACACCGCAATGATTGAGCTTATATAACATCTATAAACTTCGGTGGTGTTCATTTCATTATGTCAAATGTTGTGTTTTCGATGTTTAAAATTAATTTGAAATTTTTGTCATAAACATTACTAGAACTCGTCAAGTTTCATTATAAAATTGATGTATATAGTATACATATACATAACTTTATTACATATCTCTTTGAAATGTGTATATAAAGATGTAGGTGTATTACACCTACATCTTTATATAGCTTCTTTTTCAGTGAATTTCTTGTGGTGTTCAATAAACATGGGTTTGGGTGATGGCCCCAACTCGCTTGTATAAATAGTTTAGTTGCTCTAACGGGACCATTAGTGATATGTCGAATTACCAGCGATTATTAAGCCAACGGTACCAAGCGTATTTTACCAATAGATTTTCAAACAGTGACCAGTTTTTTTTAAATCAGATAATTAAAAAAAATGATTAAAGTGTACCGTAACATTCCAAATACTAGTCGCTTACTCTGGTATACATTAATGAAAGGAATGTTTTATCAATTAGTAGAAATTAATTAATTTGTAACTCCATTGTATACGCCCGGAGTGGTTTGTTCCCCCTGTCTTATCTTCGCGGAGGAATCTGTTCAATTTTCCTGTTTTTGCGCTTATGTAGTGTTTACGAGTTATAAATAACACGATCACAATGTAGTACCGAAACATCGAGTTCCTGTAAACATGCGGTTAATTCATCTCGGGTCATTGTCAAGCGAGCAGGCGCCGATGGGCATTTGCAACACCCGAGGGCTTGCAGATGCGTTTACAACCTTTAAAACAGTGTTCCCCGGTTACCTCACTCACCAGACGAAACGTGACAGTTTAATACTGGAAGTATTCACGCCTCACTTCTAAGAGACCGTGGTACTGCACCGGACGCGACTGGTCCATTCGTGCAGTGTGGCCCCTCAGTCGAAAAAGCTTACAGAGAGTAATCCGATAGAAAGTTGATATTTATTTCAAATTGATCGTAAACGTTCTGAAACTGTGTGCGTTAGTGCATTTAAGTTTCAAATTATCGTCTATTGTCTCTATTTATACGCGTCATTTAACCTCGACGTTCGGAAACTTAGTCTCGTAAAGGACGCGTTCTGTTACATGTGCAATGATGTGTAACTTTTTTCTTTTCATTGTCTTTTTTCTTGTTCCCTTGTTACTATTTTATTAATTTTTGCTTGGTATTTTGAACTAGCTGCCCGGACAGACTTCCGTTTTTTTATTTATGGTATTTAAACCTTCCGTGGACCTTACATACAAAAAAATAAATTAGCAGAATTGTTCCAACCATTGTTTATTTATTAAGAAGATGAGGTGCATCAAAATATACGGCATAATATGTTTATAATTCTATATCATTAATTTTAGAACGGGTTAAGACCATAAAATAAGACTTGCCAAAACAATAAATTAATAAAATCTGAAATAAATTAGTCTCTGAAGCATTAACAACAGCGTGCCGTTATCATATTTTTATGGAACGCCGATTAGGGGCTGTCAATGTTGACGTACCGCGGGAACACTTGACAGGAAATCGGGTTATCTCTACGCCAACTAAAAAAAAATCTTGTTTCTTCATCCGCTTTATTATACACAACTTAATTATTTGGTCAGTCTAAATCATGTGAATGTGATAGAAGAACTTTTTACTTTTAAGCGCATGATTTTATTTAGGCTTTTCAAATGCTTATATGCATTCCAATCGAAATACAAAGAACTTTTTGTACGGCATAGTAATGAATGGAAAGTTTGTTTTGTTTGTATCCCAATAAATGGTCCATCGCTTGAATGCAAAGTATTTGGCCCTCTGTGGAGTGACTCACTCGATTTCTCTCCTCGAACATCGCAGCTTCGGCATTAAATCGGTCCATTAATTTCAGTTCGAAGTATACTGAGAGGTGATTAATACTTTACCGGAACCGTGGTGCGGGAGCTCGGATTTTTTGTAAGGCGTTTTTGTTTGGGTTTTAAATCGAGACTGGCTACGTTTCTAGATCGTTAACGTCTCTCATTATTTTGAATCTTTTAGTTATCTTTTTCTAGTACAAAGATATTTTATAATTGTTTCTCGCAATCTTACTGTTTCGCATATTAGATGTTATACCTACATATATTTTTATTGCTTATATGTAAGCGAAATACAAAGATTATGTAAGTATCAAATATAGCATCCGCCAAATAAGAAGATAACAAAAAGAAAAAAAAATACTTGTCCTGTGGTTGAAATTCAACCGAAATTCATTAATTTTACAATTAAGTAAATTATTCTATTTTCACTCATTGAGTATTTTTTAAAATTGGTTATCTTAAAATGCTTTGGCCAGAATCTCTTCTCTGTAAAACTGTTTGATAATTGATTATTACGTGTTGGATATTGTTGACCGTATAAATGTAGAAAATATTTTTTTATTTTACTCTTTCTACACTTCTTCATATACACTTTAAACTATTCTAAATCACACACCACTCCGTGCGCGCAGTATTCTTCGAAAGGGATTCAAAGTTTTGGGTTAACATGTTTATATGATAAACCTGTTTTGTCAATTATAATTTTTAACAGCACAAACGTAAGATGCCCTCATAAAAGACTGGCCTGTAGTAAATAAAATATGTGTGTACTTAATATGTGTGTACTTATGTACGCACCTAAGAAGCTTTACTTCTTTAACTTAACAAAAGAAAATAGCTAAAAATATTATCCCTTGTGCTTTTTTGTTTAGTCTTTGCATCGCTTTCCAATCAAATTCATCATGTCGGTGTCGGTATGTGCGCGCATCGTAAATAATTTATTTTCATATATTTTTCCTAACGCGCCAAAAGGAGTGTAACTTGAAAACTATATTTATGCCTTTCATCTGGTGGTCAGGGTCACCGGGTGGACCTTTAAATGTTGCCAACGGATCTAAAACTACATACACTCCTTATTATTATACACTCAGGTGAACCATTTGCTCAATTGCCATCTTTCCTCCCCTTAAACAAAACTGCGCTGTATATATCTGAAGTTATCCTTTAATTCTGGCCTGAATGACTCACCGCTTGCGCGAGCAAGAGCTAGAGCTTATGAAATATCGCGCGATTTCTGAACAATTGCTCACGCGCCCACGTTGCAACATCTCGGACCGCTTATGAAAGGGAAATATCATGATATTGACCTTATAATGTTTCCTTTGATTACTTCGACCAACACGGTGGTACAGTCCAAAGACTGGTCGTGACCTTGCTGGTGAATGTATTGGGATTCTAGCAGCCGCGCCTTGTCACGATTTTGTTTTGATTATGTGGCCATATGATAATGATGTTATTAAATGCACGTCACAAATTAAACACACCCAATGGTCTATTAATATGTGTGGTTCTATTATTATATCCAATTCTTTGAAATGGTCATCGACCGCTTAGCTTAATTGGTAAAGCGTCTGGACAGTGTAGCGCCCATTTTTTTTTTCAAATTATCTACAAAAATTCACATTTATAAAACCATCTAAATATTACTTTACCACCCCTCCGAAACAAAGCTACAGTCTAAATATTCTTCGGTCGAATGAAACATAGATTCCATTGTTGGACCACGAATATTTCTTTGAACTCTTTCGCGGGTTGAAAGGTTATCACGATCGGGTAATCATTTGAGATACGATGACCAAAAGAGCGTTCCAAATTGGGTGCATTTGAACGCCAGTCACGCACTTGACCCGTTTCCTTATACAAGCGCGTTCGCGGTGCGCCACGGGAGGTGAGGGCTGTCTGCCCTGCCGTCGTACATTTCATACGTGGTCGACACGTATTTCGTCCATACACGATTTAGATGGATGTGGAGATACACTATAATATAATGCTATGAATGTATATTTAAAGGAGGGTTAGAAGGAGACCAGTCTCCCATAGAGAAAAGTGGATGGAAAGGACATGCGTGCTGCCGACCCCCACCTTTTGTGCGGCAAGGGCAGCAGAAACGTGAAGAACGATAAAAGCATATTCAAAGAAGGGAAAATGAGAAATAAACAAGAAGATACTTCTTAGGTCCCTTACTTAATGCAGACCAATCTATCTAGTCTCAAGCTCTGCCTTAGTTTCTAGTTAAATTGGTCCATTTTGAAGTACAAGTTTCGCTTCATCGTTTATAATGCGTACAGAAAAAGAGATATAAAAGAGAGTGAGAAAAGAAGTGATACAATCTGACTCCATCCGTTTTAATGCTATGTTGGTGCCTTTAAGGAAATAGTGAATAGGCTTCTATTCAGAGCGTTAACCCAATCACTCCACCATATACAATCGGGTGGTGATTACTATCCGTAAAATGGTAATAAATCCCATCACCACAATCCGTTTAATTCATCAAGATCTGCTGCTAAACGATATCTTTAATTGTAACCGAGGAACGTAGCATAAAATGTTTCTAAATAAAAAAAAAAAGAAAATAGAAAGTTGGTACGAGAAAAACCCTCCAAAATACTTGCAAGTTTTTGTTCGGTCTCAACTTTTTGTTTCCCACAGTTTGTTTAGAATGATTTTTAGGAAAATACAGAACTACTTCGAAACTTTTCTACTAGTATATTAGTAATGTAGACATTGACATTCGATATTACCGATAGGACGGCGTAGAGTGGAACCTTGACTAGACGACGCGGGTCAGCCGCAGAGCAACCTTTATGGTAACGGTAAGCCATGAGGTTTTTACTTCGTTAGCCATCGATCTGCTGCACGTAAAGCGGTTTAGGCCTTGCTATAACGGAATAACGAGTAAAGCGATAATAATTGTAAAATCAACGTTATTAGTAACAACTTATAGCTATACTTACGTTAAAACGGTCAGCGTTAGTAATTGATATAGATCGCAATGCTACCAAAATGATGTTTTTAACTTTGCATTTTAAAATTTATTCAATAGAATAAAATTACATTCTTTTTTATATTTATTCTCACCTTCCCAGTTGTGGTCTTTGTATTACTTTGCACCTGCAATAAGCGTTCAGCTTTTAAAGCTGTATCGTAGACTATCACTTTGTTCTTGACGCTTACTGGAATAAAGCAGTGTCGGGCAGGCTTCCTGTGGTGTTAACGAAGAATTCCGGATTTTATGTATTGTATGTTAGAACTATATGAAACTATCCTATCGATATATATAACTTCGAGATGAACTTCGAAACTGGGATATAACAAGTTGCGATATAACGATATGGTTTTATTTAATATTTCATCCGAAGCTCATTACAATAATAATTTTTGTTTATTTATGTACAAGCATAAGTTACCGTGACGTTCACTTAATAATGGTTTAATATATGCCAGTGAATGGGTTTAGTTGAGATGAAACCGGTACAGGGCATTACTGAGATATTGTGGTTTACTTTCTGATGTGTAATTACGAGACTTCGTACATTTGTATCGCTGTGCAACAGAGTTGCCAGCACGTACGCCTTAATGATCAAATATTTATTGTTTATTTTGTATTGGAATAATTATTACTATGTACTTTTAATTTATTTTCACGGGGTAAGTCAAGTCACTCGGGGAATAGTCTAAACTAAAATCATTGAAATAGGTAGATTCAGTGTTTAATTTTGAATATTCTTATTACGAATTTTGAAAGAAATGTTTTAAAATTACTTAAATGTCAGTCGCCAATGTTACCAAAACAGGAACTTTGTTTATGATAACCGACGACGGGGACACTATCACCGAGTTTCTTAAAACTCGTTATCTGTGTGGATATTTAGTAATATAATTCTAATCACCTAGATTTATGTGTATCTAGGTAAGCAAATACCACGTTAGTATTACGTACTTATGAATTTTATTTTTTTATTTTACACCGGTAATATATTAGCGCTTAATTGTAGAATCACTATGACGACTTAAAATCCTATGTCCCCTAGCTGGGGCAGAGGGCGTCCACAGTAGATCTCCATAGCGAACAAATCACCATACATATCATTACAAGGTTTAAGAAATAGTTATAAACGTTTAAAGTAAACCTACGCAGCATTTTTAAATACTTTTTTTTTCCAAACAAATAAATCACCTAAAATTAGCATGTTTATTCTAAAAATATCGTGCTTCTCGCTTTGTATTTATTCCTTATGTCACCATACAATGTTGAAATGAATGCTGACGGTGGTAAAGCCATGAGGGTGGAAAAACATTGCGTGTTGTAAAGTATTTATCATTCCATTCCGCAACTGACGATCAAATTGCTTCGATAATTCCTCTTCGGATAATGCGCGGGAACCGCGTGCGAAAAATATGCTCCCGCCGCCATATTGAGTTGTTTTATTCCTGCCTATCGCACATACGCTGCGCACTTGCGGGTGTGGGGTTATGTGACCGCGGAGATGTAATTGCAACTGAGGAATAGGTAGGTAATATTGTTCGAGCGATCGCAGCTCGCCAATTATCTAGTAATGAGTTATGTCAGAGGCCTTGTACGTACTGTGGAATGGTTTCTTAAATTATATTAGAGCTTATGCTTGTAGAAGTTAACATTTGCATATAAACGCGTAAGGTTCATAAGCTTATGAAAAGTATTAAGAATTTGGTCTTCGTTCATTTATAATTTTATTCATTGCAAGAATTTGGTACGGTGACTTAATATTACTACCGTTTGTTCTAATAAATTGATTTCTAATTTATTTTATGCTCACCAAAGTTTTATTACTTGTCCAGTGAACATTCGTTAAAGGTTATTTATACCTGAAAAAACAGTTTATGACAACATGTTTCGAGTTGAAAGACCTAAAAATTGTACTTTCAAAGTAACCCCCATTACTGCAATGAAATGCCGATTCCGTTTCGTTTTCATGTTTCAGCACAAACTCACTTCATAGCTTTCCTAAAATAAATTCACAATTTTCAATCATAAATGTGTCGTGTTCCCGCTGTTAAATTAAGTCACAGAAATGTTTTGCATAAGCTGGAGTCGATTAACGTGCACAGTCGGTGAGTAGTCGGTGGAGTGACCAATTTTTACACTCACAAAATTAGGACCGCCTCCGAAAACGTTCTTTTCGTTTAATAAAACTTATATCTTAAATACGTGTTATGATGTTATCTCCATAATGCATGGATCTACGTGATAGTCGCCAAATCTAAGATTTAAGCCTTACCAAGGATCGTTTACAATCGCGTGAAAGTGTCCTTCGAAAGTGTGGTCACAGTTGAGCAAATTAACTTGCGCTGGCGCTGCCTTGTGTTGCGATTGTACTCGGCGACTTAGTCACGCCGGCCCCCAGTCGCCACTGCAACGCGTATCGCATTTCCATTCGCGCGGCGATTTCTGCTCCAAAAACTCTTTTAGAGGAGCGACCATTGTTGGTTTTGCGAAGGACGTATAGATCTTAGAGTCGACGATCCTGTTTACCCGTATGTAAACATTATCCCGTAACTGACGCTGTGAATAGCGTAAATAATGTTATCATGAATATTAAAATAAGTTTACTGATCAATTAAGTATAACTATTGCGGTTTTCTCTTTATGTTCCACGTTGTAATGTGAGAAATAATATTTTTTACCAAGTACATCATATGTTATCTGATAAGAACAATATTAGAGAACGTCTCTATCTACTTCCGCAACAGAAAAGTTCTTATCTTTGATGACAGTGACTCAGAACTCTTAAGTCAGTCATCAACAAGGTCGATTAGATTTGTCTCCTTTTACTGATCCTATTTAAGGATAAGCTTTTCTTGTACATAGGATTACCTTTCTAACATTAACTTATGTTGATGCTAATGCTCGATATTATAGGTTTGACAAAAAGGTTTTGAAAATCTTTATAGTATGTTCTTTTTAATACGTAGTATCGTACACATTTACGTATTTCTAATTTTATGTTAGTAGATTTTAAGTTAATTAAAATATAATTATCATATACCTACTAATTTATGGTTTATGGTGTTCAATAAAGTATATATAATATGAGAAAATCATAAAAATAACAACCAAATAGTATACCTATATAATTTTAAGTCACCACTTTAGACAATGCTGTCATATTTTTTATTTCTTTTAAAAATAAAACCTGCATCTCTAAGCCACGAAACAAACACAATGAGCCAAGTTTTTATCGTTGTATATAACTGCACTGTATATACTATACAAACAATGCCTAACCTATCGTAGATTTCAAAGGTACCGTAGAAACTGCGATTGTGCTGTGAATGAGTTTATCCTTCGTCATACGCACAAAACCGGACCGCGTTCTATTTTTCCGTCCCTGATACCACAACATAAGACCTTTATTCCTTCAAACTCTTGTCACAATATCCGGTGATTTATGTAGCCTCACTGTGAATACGTTTTTACAAAAAAAAAACTAAAACTTTTAGAGAGCAGTTGATCAAAGAATCGATAAAAATAAATCTTATTTCTATTATATGTAATTACAAAGGTGTTGGTTGTTTTATCATTTATTATTATGTGATAAGTTATAAACTTGTTAAATGACATCATTGCGTATGTTAATTCATAATTGGCTTCTATATTCTAATTACTGACACAGACATAATGGTATCATTTTCGTCGGCCTTGGTGCGATCTTCGAAAACTATTAGTAACTAATTTGCAGTTACGTTCATTTAATTACACCACGACCAGTAATTAAGGCCCATTAACACGAGCTGATCAATAAGTTCGACTATGAACTTTTGATATGAATGAAATATTTTTTGTTAAAAATTGTGCTCACCTGTACTGCTCTGTGAAAATGTTCATACTCGCCACGAGGGTATCTAATATTAACACTTTACGCACCACACCTTAATATATTTCTGAACACAATTCCTATTAATTATTTCGTAAACTTAATGTCTAGTTAGTCATCATGCATTATCCTTGTAAGGTTCATAATAAAATCTCGTAATTTTTTTATTTTATTGTTTATTCATTACAAGTCCAGCGCTAATTATTTGGCCCCTTTTTAATGATTGGCCTCGAATACGTGATTGGTCATTGTTCGCGCATAATCTTATCGTGCTTTTGATAAAGCAAAATTGTACTTGTTTCTCTGCGATCGATAAACCTTTCTGGCGTTCCCATGATTAAACGCGGCGCACATAAACTGTACAAATCGAGTTTTACGGCTCAACAGTTTAAATGATCAAAAAAATGTGAATACCGGCGTCACTGTCACGGAAAATTGATTTAAGTGAATAATATAGTTATATAGTAGATTCGAATAGGCAGTGTTTTATAATATGGTTCGTGTATTTCAATTATTTATCTATCGAATGTTTAATTTTCTATATAATCGTTCTCCATGAGCTTGTACATCAAATTTAATAATTTACAGAGTGGTCAACAAATCAAGTGCTTTATCTGAATGTATAACGAAATGTGTGGCTAGGCGTCGAATGCAAATAGTTATGGACTTGCAATTGTGCCCAAAGGACGCTTTTAAGCATAACGAATCCCTGTGACGATGAAGCGAGACGTCCACTCGGCGGTCGGGCTGCCGTAAAGTGGCGTGCATCCGCCGTTCCGATGGCCGAGATGTCGGGTGCCCTGACCCCAAACGGCTCGGCCACCGACGATGAGCCGGCGCGGCGGCGCTCCGTCTTCTACGTGCCCCTGTTCGAGAGCTTCGACAACTACCTGCCGCTCACGGCCGAGGAGAAGGAGGCCCTGATATGCGGACAGAACATAGACGAGGTACCGATAAAACCGAAGAGGAGGAACGCCTCGCAGCGGCTGCAGATCTCGCGCGGCGATTCCTCTATGACGGAGAGCGAGAGCGAAATAAACACGTTCAGCCCGCAGCGACGCATGCGCCGCCCGTTGTCTTCCACGATCAGCTCCAACGAGGCGCTGGCCAGGATCGTACAAAGGGAGCTCACTAGCTCCCGATTGTCTGCCGAAAACAGCCCACCGAGGCATTCGAAACCTAGATTACGAAGCACCACCTCGTGTGAGCCCCGCTACGACAGAGTTTTTTCACCCTTAGGTGGTTCGGTCTCTACGCACAAATTGAATAATTCAACCTCAAGTATCGGCAATAGATTGACATCTAAGAGCCCAATACGTAATTCTAATCTGTCTCTAATACCCGACTCACCAAAGTTGCTATCGCCTAACAAGGAGAAGTCTAAAACACTGCCGCAGAACCTCAACACTCCATCGCCCATAAGAGGGAGTAGCAGTTCATCGTCCATATTTAAAACGCCGAAGATAACCGTTACGCCCGAAAGTCCAAACAAGAGCCCGGGGAAAATATCGGGACTGAACTTTATACGCCGCTCGAGGAGCACAAAGCTGTCACGAAGCAATTCTTTGCTGCGCAGCATAACCGCACGACACATCGAGGAAGGATTGGACGATACTGTGGCGGTGGTGACGAATCTGACCGAGGACTTCGACAAGTTTGTGGGTGACAACGGCGGGCAGAATGAAGTTATCGGAGCCCTGATCAAAAAGAACGAAGCTGAGGTGGCGAACAGCCCGCTAAGCATCAGACGGGGCTATCTGGACGTCGACGACGAAGTTGCCGTACATTCCGGTAAGGTTTTGAGCGAAACTGTAAACGGTTGCGGTTGCAATGTCAATCAGTTGCTATTGTATTATCTACCAGCTGATACCCGGCACGTTTCTGCCGAAAAATACCGTTTGAAATTAGAAACATTTATGTTGCCGGCAAAAGACACAACACACGCGCCATCTATTTAAACTTAATTTAAAAATGGTGACAAAGTAAAACTTACTTTCGTACTTGAGTACTTGTGTTTACGGAAGCAGATATGTTGCAATTTGTGCTTAGATTACACGAATCAGCTTTTATTGTACAAGTGTACGAACAACATAAATGACTTGACGTTTCTGTTCATTGTGATAAGTATTCGTTTCAGTATACAATAGTTGATTATTGGACAATGTAACTTAAACCTTTAATAGAGTCCTAGAGAACATTTCAGCTCGAGAAGTTAGCCTTTTTTTTTTTTTTTTTTTTTAATTTTTCAATACGAAGCTAACTTCGTATTGAAAATTTTTTTATGATCGTAGTCCGATTTTCACATAAATAGTTGGTATCCGCAACCGATAAATATTCTTCGCGATTTATTAGTTTCATAGCACAATATTCTGCGATTTATTTGTGCACTACGTGTGTTGGTCTTATTTACCGCTACACTGATATGTATTCCGTACACTACTCTGTCGCGGATCGCTCCGTTGCCTTACTTACCAATAAGGTCGAAATTGGTCCAATTAACGGACTCTAATTAAAATTAATTTTGAAGTAAATATTTTCAATCAGATATATCAGGTAATTGAGGGAAACAAATGGCTGTGCGCGTAGAATTTGACTAGTCGTCTATCATTTGTGAAATTTCTTAATGAGTTTTTAATAAGACTTCCCTTTTACTTAAACTATTTTATGAATAATAAAACTATATTACTTTCCAGGGCTAACAGATTCGTAACCATCCTGTAGTGTTTGAAACATAATCGGGATCTTAGTAATAAGTTAAACGTTATATACGTTTGTATTGTCGCGGTTGCAAACAACACGCTGTATATTTCTAATGTATACGAATAATTCCGATTCGAAGACTTCACTTGACACATGAATGAGTTCAATCCAACTTATTTTCTGATTGAACGTTTCCGTATTCGACCGTAAAGTATAAAAAAAATCGTTTTATCAAACAGTGACATTTTCGAATAAGTTGTATCAGGAGCGCAAACAACCGGGGAAAGGACATTCTTAAGGAATATAATTTAGAAATATTTTGGAAATAAATATGTTGTATTTTCTAAAGCCGCCTTACCTATAATCAGTACGTACCTAACTGAAATTAGTGAGGTCATTATTGATAACCACAGTCCACACATTCCGTTTTAGTTAGTGGTTGTCACGATCTCTCATTTAAAATAGGTTTAAAATCTATAGATCACACAAAAGCTTTTAAAGATTTTTGTGCCATGTACTGATATTTTTTTAATTAGGGTAAAATTTCCTTAAAAGTCATCTTTTAAGTTAATTTTTTTAATCGATTTCAACTTTTCTCATGCTGTGGGCCACTTTGGTTAAACATTGGCTACGTATCTATAGCCTCACAAGAATTGTAGACGTCCATAGGCAGCGATAATAACTTAACATCAGGTAAACCGCATGTTTATTTGCCAACAATCAAAACTCTCGAATAAAGAAAATCATATTAATTTACATTTTACGCAGCATAAACAACGTGAACCTTTTACTGATTGCGTGCCTATCTCGGCGTGTCGCACGCACTTCCTCGTGGGTACTTATCAAAGTGAACGTTATCAATGTAAGGCATTAAACGAACGTTGTGTGTACGTTATAATATTACACGAATATTCTGTTTAATATAGCCATGATAGCTCAGTGTCCGGGCGCTCGCCTTTAATTCAATATACTCGAGCAACCTAAGTTCGATCCCCGGTGCCGGCACCAATGAAGTTTTTAACTTTAAGTGCTGACTTATCACGTGCTCCGCGGTGAAGGAAAACATCGTGAGGAAACCTGCATATTTTCGAAATAATAACAAAAAAAATATATATATATTTCGAAGATATGTGAAGTCCGCCAATCCACAGTGGGGCCGCGTGGTGGACTATGCCCTGATACTCTCTGTATAGAGGAGGCCTTTGCCCAGCAGTGGGGCATGTATAGGCTGTTACTTTACTTTAATTTTATTCTGTTTAATAATTGTGCGGCATCATCTTCCAGAAGAATGTTGAGCCCGTTCTTTACACTTTAAGAACTTTTTACCTACGTGTTGTTAAGTGATTATTTTGACTTAAGACTTTATGATACAGTAAAAAACATGAATAGTTTCAGTATTTCTTTTTAATCGGGCACATTAAAAAGAAATAATAAAATAAGCCAAAACCATTCTCTCATCAGGGGAAGTAGGTGGTTTCCAAAAGCAATTCAGTCAGTGAAGTCCAGTAAAAATTAGGTGCCTTTGTACCTTGGCAGTCATTTTTGTGAGACACTTCCCGTGTCAGGCGAGGGAGGTAACCGCTTCACTCTCTCAGAGAGGTTACAACGCAATTGCGACCCCACACATGTGGAGTATAGACAACGGCGGCAATTCGTTATATGACGAAATTATTTGACGTTAATGACGTAGTAGTTTCGCTCATCTTGTATTGTTATTGAAAAATGTGTCATAAAACCTAAATTGCAAACTGTTTTTATATGTCGTCTTAATTAAATTACAGCCAAAAGTTCTTAAGAAGCCCACTGCAACACTCGTCTCTTACCGCAGCTTTGGGACTAGATATTTCTTGTAGTGCTTCTCCGCTATTGTACAGTTTGATTTAAGAGTTGAAAAGATTTTTAACTGTGTAAAACATGGAAATACAACTTAAGTTTATTTAAAATCTTTTTAGAGTTATTAGAAACATAGGACTTTTATGTTAATATGGTATACCGTGAAATAATTCAGTAATTTTGCCATTTTTAGCAACTTTTTTTTGTTAAACTTAAAGCTTCTTGGTTTTAGGTCATTCACCTTACGAGGGTGCTTCTTTATGGCTACTTTGGTGCCTTATCTAGTAAAGGACACTGAAGCGTTGTGAGCTCTTTTCTATCAGTTTAACGCATCCATTGTAAAGTTTTTTTTAACGTACAGATAATGTATACGGCTTGAACAGAGTTAACTTAAGAGTTATTTTGTAAATAATGAAGTCAAATTTAGAATTTGTTGTCAATCGTTGTTGTTAATAAATTAATCTATAAAATAACTAGCCGCTGCCCGCGACTACGTCTGCGTAGGGGGGTGAAAATTTATCGTTGTATGTATTTTTGTATGCTGTATCATAAAGAAATAAAAATTAAAATTTAGAGAAATAAAAAATAGATGTCCGATTCACCCTGGCCGATATGCACGAAAATCGGTCGAAGTTAAATTACAAACACCGTGACACGAGATACAATTAATTTTGCTGCACATCGACCTGGATATACATTATAATGATTAAAACGTCCCATGGGTAGCCAGTTCCAGACATACGAGTGATCCTCGCTCAAAAGCAAACATGATTTGCGTCGAGTACAAATAACTTCCATATCACACATCCTTGTTCTGCTCGCGAAGAAATCAAAGAGGTTTGCTCGCGTTTAACATGCATCATGCGTAGGTACGTTTCAGTAATGATCCACTTACACTGATACAGCAATTAGAGCGTTAACGAACGCGTATCGCCGGCGGTACTGTGGCGCCTTGGCGTTTGCCACCGCCAGATGTGAACGCGTGAACGCGTCGAGTGACGGACGACGTTTGCGTTTTGCGTTGGTCGTAACTCGTACGTAGAAAGGCGACAATGTGGACCTAAACGGACGTGATAGTGTTAATGGGGTTCGGAGGAACATCTGTTACTTTCACCCCAGCGATAGAAACGGTTCGTACACGATACACGAGGGTTGATGCTTTCTTGGTAATGTCGTTACGAATTTTAAAACAACTACGTACTGTCCAATGGTTGCGTATTGTGGGAACCTTGGCTATGTGTGGCAGATTTGCGTGTTATCACATTATACTTTATTGTGCACCAAAAAATATGTGCATTCACTGAGATTAAGCAAAAAGCAAGCTTATGCCTTGTATAAATAATACTTCATACTTTCCGGCAACGTATTTGCAAGTCCTCCGGTGTTGCAGATATTAATGGGCGGCGGTGATCATTTACCATTATGTGAGCCTCCTGCTGGTTTGCAGCAGCATAAAAAACCCTACATGCAACGTTAATTTTATTTAGTTTGGCTTGATTAATTTATATTCATTTTTATTATTATAAAATAACTCTGATATGTAAAAGCTATAGCTTAAATTTTATAGTGTAAGTTTTCATTAATGAAAAATAAAAGTTCATAATTGCTTCAGTAATTTCAAAGAATTACCAGTTAACAGTAAACAAAAATATTTTATCTTTTAATTAATAAACATAAATAATTCATAGAAAAATTAGATGTGTGCAAATTGCAGAGCCTTCATTATGATATCCTGAATTAACTTAGTCGATCAAACATATTAATTTACAAAACATTTTAAATTACGACGATTCGTGCCAATTTCGCCAATGTACAAAAATCACTATTTTCGTATCACAAAAAGTTCTACTTTATGCTAATATCAAGAATAAAAATTGGAATAAATTTGAATAAACTTTGTTGCCATGAAGATACGACGTGGAAACAAAAACCTTGCAACATTAATGAGCAAACGGAACAAAAATCATACATAGTAATAAAGTTACTTTTTAAATCTGTTTTCTTCTTGCATTACTTTCTCTTGGTGGAAAGAAGTATAGAGCATCTATCGTACATATAGCGGGCGTTGTTAATGAGTAAATTCATAATATTACTCCGCAACACACGAAACGTGAGGATTTTCATGACATTTATTTCTATTGTATGCTAGCTTATACCCACTGCTTAGTCTGCGTTGCTAGTTATATTCACAAGGTATTTTATGTGCCAAAGAAAGAAATCTCAAAAAGATCGGGCGAAAATTATGTATTCATATGCATTTTGTATAATAAAAATTCATATTGTGAATGGAGTTGAATAATTCTACAAGAACTAAGTTAATCGAAATTTATCCAACACGTTTTCGGTGAGGTGCGTACTACGGCAGACCTCTATCCTTTTTGTATAGATATAGTACGCAAAATTTTTGAGTATGTACTATTATGTTATGTAGTTAAACACGTAAGTGTGTAACATACCGCGTTCGAATCGTAAAAAAAGCACGTGTGATATAAATCGAGGAAATACATTTAAAGACTTTTATTACAAATTTTTAATTAAGGAGTCAACTTGTTTGCGATTTGTGATGCTCCGTAAAATACAAATACACAGAAATATAACAAGTTTGTGGGAAGTCTTAATAGTGAATCGAAGTTATTGACTCAATTCGCAATAAAATTCATTGTACTCTACACGCTTTCGCATGTTCCTACGTCAATTTTCACTGGATGACCTATTTGTTGAATCAGCATTTTCCTGGAACTAGTAATTGAAACGTTAACCCAGCAACTGTTTCCGTTCACTTCGGCAAATTTTAGTTGACAGTCAGTACCAATAGATTCAGGTCAGTTATACTATCGAATTCACAATGCATCCAATCGGAGAATTCACTTGAAATTGGTAACGCAAGAAATTTTATAGCTTTTCAAAGTTTATTTAGAATGCGGAAGTTTCCCGGTCCTCTGGAATATGTTTAAAATGAGAAATTTCATAGCTTTTTAAAATTTATACGGCGCATGAGTAGCGGTCATGGGCGGCGTGCGTGCAACTTCCGCCGGAAACCACGCCAAAACATTTAGTGCTGCATCGTCGTACTTTGCAGTACCGAATTGCTTGGATAGCGTTGTATGAACGTTTTGTAATGTAATTTTTTTTTATTTAATCTTGACAAATGTTAATTTTGCGCTCTTGGCGAATTATTTCGCGTGGTAATGATTTAATAGAGCGCTGGAAATATATTTCATTTATACCGTTTTATAGTTAAGTTTTAATTTTCAAGAAACATCTGGAAATTTTTAAGGATTTTTTTTGCTTTAGATCGCAAAAGTTTATGATATATTGTTTGTATGTTTTATGTTGCAGTAATCACCAACGTCTACCCATTTTGATAGTCTATGTAACAGTGATCGAAAAATGTCTTTAAAAACATTGAAACGTTCACTGGATATAATGTCCAAACTCCAAAGTAATTCTGAGATGTTCAATCTCGAAATGTCAATGGCACAATTGTGTTACATACGTAGCATCTCCAGTAAAACGGTCTCGTCCTCATACGTCATTTTCCTCAAGTAACCCGGTGTATAGACAATGAGCACCACGCATCAGTGCCGAGAATAGGTATTATTCCTAACCGCACGGTTGTGCCGATCATTTTACAAGTCTGCTTAAATCAGTCGCTATTCAGTGCTCCATAGTAATGGTGTTAATGCGAGGGCTCCTCAATAAATTGCACTGTCTAGGTAATTTGATTCGCGGCGTATTAAGTTGATACCAACAATGCCCGGAACAGTGTGATTGATTTACCTTTAGTGTCTTATCGAAACCGTAGAACTGAAATGATTTTGTTTCCATATTTTGGCGCCCTTTTTTGCTTTCTTTTTCACAATGTTTAAAAGCTTACGTCATCCTTTTAATTTTGAATTGAGAACGAACAACTCTAACCTATTTCTCTCCCCGTTGACAGACACATCGTACGAGAAGGCATGTCGCCGCGGGTCAGCGCCGAGTACGCCGGTGCCGGGCGCTCAGGCCCAGCACAGCCCCTCGCGGCTCGCCTCCTTCTTCTTCTCGAAGCGCTCGTTCAGGAGCAACCCGCTCAAGAGGACCAAGTCGGCCACGAAACTTGAGAGGGAGCGCGCCCTGGCCGCGGCGCCTACTCATCCGCCGGCACACGCATTACGGACCTCCAGGTGAGAGCTTTCATTATTTTATCATTTCGGAACGTGCGGCGCGATCAGGTTGTTCACCTACCATATCTGCAGCACCTGTGGGCATGGACGTGCTAACCTGTAAGAGCGGGCCCCGGTGAACGCAATCGTCGTATGAAGTGCAAGAGTACAAATACGGGCACATTGCTATTCGTGTAAATTCAGAAGCTGTTGTTTGACTCCACAGTTAACGGTTTTTCATTTTTATCGTCATCATTTTAGCCTGTTTGAGTCAACTGCTCAACGTAGGCCACCCCACAGACTGCCATGAAGCACATTACTGGGCCACCTGCATCGATTAACGCTCCGCACATCCGCAAAGGTCGTCATTCCGTTCAAACAGTTTATTGCATATTACATAGTTATCATATTCGATTCAATCTCCGTCCGTAACGCCCCATAGATGAGCCTCCGTTGGGCTAAGATTTCATGTTTACAAAGAAGGCTTAACCTTCGGCTACCTCACTCACCAGACGAAACGCAGAAGTAAAACACTTCAACTTCACGCCGGTCTTCTGTGAGGTCATGGTGCTTACTTGTTCGACCGACCTGTTCATTCGTGCAACAGTGAAGACTGTTGCGTGGCCGTACCACATTAACTTTCCAATTATTTCCTTTCTTGATATTTCTCAATCAAGGTAATCGAATTCAATTTTTAAATTATAATCCCTAGACGACAGTGGTACTTCCATAAAGTAAAAGATTTATATTCGTAGTGAGAATGTGCATTTCGTGATTGAAAGAAATTATCCAGACAAGGTGTTATAACTCTGGCTAGGAGTGTCACCGTCTGACGCCCCACCTCGTGAACCTTGTTTACTGAACCCTCATTAGTTAAGTGCGCCCCAGCGCTCCTGACGCCGTATTACATTATTGTGACGTCTTTATTACCTGGAAAACTAATTAGGCCCAACGCGAAGTGCGGTGCGTACTAAAATCGGTATTAATTTAACTTGTCACGGCAATAACACTTTAATATCAATTTACGAGAGGTCAAAAGGTTTATGTGTTTTATTTTTATCTTGTAGTAATTGATTTATTATTTTATAGAATTTAACCAAATTAGTGTTCGATGAAGATCATTTCCCAATGTTACTTTTTAGGACCGTATAATAAAGAGTCGCCTGTGTAACCGTGTCACGTTAGTAGGTTGTGAAACTATTTATCCTTCCCAAGAATTAAATGTTTTCGCTAGCATAATAAATAAAAACGTTGAATTCATTCAGTGCTCTGAAATTAATCATTAGACTATCACTTCTTATAAATATAAAGGATGTATTTTACGCTTTTCCAAATCATGTGTTTCATTCATACGATTGTTATGAAACTTTTGCGAAAGTTGTTTTGTATATGCTCGCGTCAATTTACGTAGAACCTGAGATACAACTTACCCTAAAAAACATTTTAATTAAACAAATGATTTCTAATCTTCCAGATCTCATGAAAGTCTGCTGTCAGCACACTCACCCGCCGTGTCCACGATGGATTTGGGACCACCCAATCAAGTAAGTGTGACTTTAAATCTGCTTAAAGTTAAATATCTGAGTATTGTATTTAACCTAGTACACACCATATTTGTAGCTTTCGATTTCCACTCGGATCTCCCGTCTACCATAATGTTTAGTCGCGTGTCGTGTGCGTCCGTGTATGAGCAATTGGAACGCGGTCCGCAGGTGGAAATCCGCGCTTTGCACTCCTCGGTGCTGGGCAGGCCGCACTGCTTCGCTTTGAGCGCCGAGAACAGAGCGCCTCGCTACTTCGCCTGCGCCTCTAGGAGGGAGCGCGACCGGTGGATATACAGGTGAGCTCATGCCGCCCTAGTAACTCTCTCTCCTAGATCGCATTTCGGGAGGGCGTCACTATTTAAGAATGTGCATATTTGTAGGTATCTTTTCTACTTTTTTTTTATTAAATTGCTTCAAATATGTCATTTAGTTTGTGAATCATAAAAAGCAAAATAAAAGCTTGTGATTCAGCGGGCCTTGTCATCTTTAAACTTTTGATAGATTTAAGATGACAAGGCTCCTGCTGCTCCTTTGTTTCTTTTGTAGATTATCAAGCCACGCTATAAACAGCAGCTTATGCCGTCCTAGTCACTCAATTTCAAATCCGCAGAAAAACTTTCATTTTGGCCGTCCCTATAATAATAAAAAACATAGACCATTCGATATAAACATTTCTTCGCATTAACATTTTAATGCGCTCTAATTTCTTTACAGTGTTTCGTTTGGCTTCAGCGGGAAATATTTTTGCTGCACATTCATAAGACCGTAGTACTTACTTTTAGCACTCGCTAAACAAGGCGAGGTAGAATTTATTACTTAACTAGTGAAAGAATATGTTCTCTGTGTTGTTTTTTTTATTCGATTATACATCACTGACTGAAACATAGAGTTGAACTATTGTTATTAGAAATAATGTATTGTATCTCTTTGATTCTCTCATGGCATCGAAAAACTATCCGTTTGTATAGCCTACGCCGAACGTTATATTTAGATATCGATACAATTCCAGCCATTCTTATAGAGTGGTAAACCTTATCGCGTTTTACCTGTTGCACATAGTATAATTTCCATAAACGTATTCATTACAACACGTTATGTGGCAGATTAAAGCGGACATTATTCAAAATTGAGGTCAATGCGTTTACCTACATTAGAACAACCAATTGCTACGTGCTCGGAACGAATACGCAGTCGAAATGCGAATTCTGCGTGTTCCACCCTTACGTTTGCTTCAGTGAATTGAATTAAATGGCGGGGGCGTATACAGAAACAGCAAGTGCATTAGCTTTTCTAATTTAATGTGTCTCTTTTCTTACCGGGCAAATAATATGAGATTCTTACACCTGCATTCAAAAACAAATAAAATCAAATAGCGCTTAATTATTTTCTTCAGACATTAAGTTCTTTAGTCTTTCATTTAGGAGGATTATGACTCAGCTCAACTAAAATTTGAATTCTAGTTATGTTACACATAAGAACTGTAAAACTGAAACTTGGTAACACGACGTCCTACTTTGGTTCGACCGTCTCAAATTGTTTGTTCAATTTGTATTGTTTTTCAACCGACTTAAAAAAAGAGGTTCTCAATACGGTTGTGTTTTCTTTATGTTCTCGGAACTTCGTCATTTATTTAGCGATTTTAAAAATTGTTTTTGAATTCGATACTTTCTTTGGTATTGTACCTTGTAGTGTGAGATAAAACGAAATAGAAAGGTATATATATATATATATATATAGTTAGTGAGATATTTGAAGTGGGTTTTGTTTTTAGAAACTATTTTTTTTTTGTGTTCATTTTTCCAGTTTAAGACAAGCGGCGCGACCAGACGAAATACGCACGCGTCGCTGCGAGCGCACCGTAAAGCTGTGGCTACTGGAAGCTAAGGCCATACCGCCGAAGAAAAGATACTACTGCGAAATACTGCTCGACGATACACTTTACGCAAGGTACGCATTTATTATATCATTATTATGTTGGGACACTTAGTTATTTATATATATATATATTGTGTTTTCATTATTTCGGTTAATAATTTACTGGTTTCATGTATTGCTCCGGTCATCAATTCGTATGAGGGGTCTTGGTTGCGTTCTTTCTTAAATGATTGTGCCCAGTTGGTCTAGAACTTTACTCACGAACTAATGCGTTCTTCATCAGAGTTCTTCTTCAGGGGAAATATTACTAAAAGTAAAAGTAAAGAAATATTACTACAGCTAAATAATGTGTATTAAGTCGTTAGGTAGAAGTAAAGCTTTAAACAACTTTGTCGTTTCGTCAAAATGTTTAGGTACTGTATGGAATTAATAATAGAGTATACTGGTATATGTGATGTGAGAAATTATTACTTCGCATTAAACATTTCTCTTTGACTATTATTTATGAGGTAACAAAAAAGAGATACTTATATGTTTTATGGGACAGTGCTGTTTAGTCCAATAACTCACGGTTTAGGAACATAGTTACGTCACAGAGCAAATGTCACCGTGTCATGCATTTAACGGTCGATATGTTAATGTCGCGTGAACGCGGTAAGTCGTTATAAGTAACAAAGCGGTTTTAGTGGGGTGGATGTGGCCCGGTTGCCAACTGGTCACGGTCTGCCTTGGTGCGGGAGGGTTCTAGGCTTGACCGTAACGGAATTTAGTTGTATCGTTTTTTGCTCTCGTAATTAGCTTTGTGAATTGATGACATCGTTTGAAAACAAATGAGCGTAGATTTTTTATCTTGTACGCGTTAAGTTTTTTGGGACGAGGATGGTTGATGGGATGAACCGGTTATATTTAATTATCGGATACGACACGGCGAATATTTTTGGTTAATTATAAAAAAAAAACATTATATTTATTTAAACCTTTATGAGTATAGAAATGTATAACATTTTTGTATGACTATATTATTACTTTATTTTTTTATTATTTTCGCGCGTTACGCTCGCTCAAATTTTACTATTTTGCAGCATTAGGGTGGTTTGGGGGGTACAAGTAATTAGCATTTGTATTTAAACACCACAGAATTAGAAAGATCTGTCGGCGAAATCATCAGCGCGTCTCGGAAGAAATGTGGCACAGTCGATCTCCAAAGTATAATACTGCCCTTTCTTACCTTTTTGATCCATATACAGCGTGTCGTTACCATCGCGACAATAAATGAACACACATATAGAGGATAGCTTTTTAAAGTTGTATTAAACATTTAAATTCTTTAAACATATTTACAGAGTTATTAAATTTTCCAAAACAAAGAATTTTAGAACACCCTTACCTATAAAAGCGTAACGTAAAGTTCATTTGTAAAGGTCACAAAGCATATGAATGGGTTGAATGAATTTAAAAGAGACAAAACGTACTGTTAGAAGGAGAGGCTTGTAATACATGATGTTTCAAATTTTGTTTCTTTTTTACTTAATTAGTTTGTTTGAAAAAAATTTTTTTTAATTATGGATTTTGTTTAACGTTAATATTTTTTTATGATTATTGGCAAGTAGCGTTAGACGTGTGTTCATTTATTGTCGCGATGGTAACGACACGCTGTATAAATGGAATATCTAGTGATGGGGAAGGAATTCCCGAATGGTGTCTCGGGCTCGTGGTTAGTGGCAGACCTGTGTCCATCGTCATCATTTAATCCAACAGTGGACTATAGCGTAACTGAAACGACGTAGACGATGTCGACAATATAGTGTTAATAATATAAATTTTTGACGTAACTTACGCTTCGTAATCTCTTGTCGGTCGCAGGTCGTCGTCTAAGCTGAAGTCGGAGCTCTGCTTCTGGGGGGAGGTGTACGAGTTCGGCGCCCTGCCCGCCGTTCGCAACATCCACGTGAACGTGTACCGCGAGCCGGAGAGGCGGGCGCGGAAGCGGGACAAGCACGCGCTAGTAGGTCGGTACACCGATCGGTGGGAGCGGGACGGAAGCTGTCGTTGTCTTTTTCGCACGGGCACGGCATTCGTTAGCGCGTCTCATTTCGAATGTCATATTTTTTATGCGCAAGTTTGACTGGTGGGAGCGAGACGAAAGCTGTCGTTGTCTTTTTCGCACGGGCACGTCATTCGTCAGCGCTTTTTATTTCAAATGTCATGTTTTTTTATGCGCAAGTTTGGTAAGCGGACGAAAGATTCACCTGATGCTGACTTATTACCGCCTGGTGGTTACAGTCAATGACTATGGCATAAAAACCAAAGCATTGCCAACCGTTAAAAGAGTGTGAAATACACTTTTTGTATGTCGATTTTCTATTGACGTGTGATATTTGCCTAGACGAGAGAGCTTGCGGCATGGTTTTACCACACTTTCTATTGTGGTAAAACCATGCCGCAAGCTCTCTCAAGCTGTAGTAGTTTTTGGGACGTCAAAGCATAAGTAAAGCTTAAAACTCACGTTTGGCACAAAATTTGTAAGAATAGAAAGGTAGGGGACGGAATTTGCTATTGTCTCTGTCAGTCACATGGCATAAACAGAAAATAATTATATCCTTTGTATCTTGCAGACGCATTTGGACAACACAAGACTCTTTTGTTTCAGTAGACAAAGCCGAGCTTGTCTGTGTGAAGATTAACCTTGCCCGCTTTAATTAAAGACGTAGGATGGAACGAGTTAATGATGTTTCTATCTCTTTCTAAAGCGCAGACTTAAGTAGCAACGTGCAAGGTGATCAAAGACCTCTTTTGTGTCCGTGTCATGGACAATATGTTCTTATTGTTGTCACATACAACAACGTACAGAATAAATAAGATAAGGAGCCATTAAACTAAAATTGTATTGGATAAACAATATAAATTTTGCTTGTTTATCTCAAATAAAATTTAACATATGTCTATGGAGAAAACACAACGACAATTGATTTATATCAATATATTTATTATAAAGGATCTGGGTTTGCAGATCTTTCAATCTATGACCTTATGTATGACCTTACATAATATAAACATGCTCTTTATCATCACTTCCTGTGCAAGCATGAATCCTGTCGCTTTTATCTCCTTAACGTTTCTGTTTTTAAAATGACAGTTTTCATGATAAGCTATCACGTGTCGAAACAATACAAATTATAAATTAAATATGTGAACAGAATATACAATTAAAACATTGAATTTGGGTCAATTGAGTTTCTCTTTAAAATTTTATAAAAAAGAACTGTCCGTACTAAATTTCTATGTATTTTAGGACTCTTTAAGTTCATCTTGCCGACTAGCATTACGGATTTGGTGGTAAGGTTTTCATAACACAATTTATAAAAGAAGTGTTGTTGTGAATCCCATGATGTTGTGGAGGGTCTAATAACACAGGCGGTGAAGTCTTGTTGAGTTCTTGTCCTCGTTTTAATATCACCGTTGACTCGTCGGCGCAGTTGCGACGCTATTGGCTTTGGCACCGGAGGTCGTGGGTTCGACTTCCACACGAGACAATCATTTGTGTGCCCTACAGATAATTGTTGCGTATCCAAGTCGTTCCCAAGGAGCGTCGACGTCAGGCAGGCGACCTCGTCGTAGGAAACGTTGCCAAAAGCACTCACAACACGATTTACATTAGTTGCGATGAGGGCAGGATGATGATGTACACTTCTGCTTTTCGTCTTGTCAGTGAGGTAACCGAGCCCCACTTTGTTAAAAGGTGGCAACGCATCTGCAACCCTGTGTGTTGCAAATGTCCACGCGGTTGTCACTTAACACCAGGCGAAATGCCAGCTCGGTCCACCTTCTGACATAATATAAATAAAAAAACGTTCCGCAGGCACCGTCCGGATACCGGTGGACGACGTGTCGTCGCGCTACCTGAACGAGCGCTGGTACCCGCTGAGCGAGGAGAAGCCGCAGTCACCGGCGCGCGGCGCCGCCCCCCCGCCCGCGCTGCGCATCAAGTGCCGCTACCAGTGCGTCGAGGTGCTACCTCTCGACTGCTACGCGCGCTTCCTCGACTACCTCAGGCGCAACTACCGCCGCCTCTGCGAGTACCTCGAGCCGGTCATCGGTCAGTGGGCCTTTAATTAGTCTACCTACCGCTGCCTTTTGTTGATCAGTGGTGGTTGAGTACTCTCTATCGATCATCATATAACCGCCGCCTCTGCGAGTACCTCGAGCCGGTCATCGGTCAGTGGGCCTTTAATTAGTCTACCTACCGCTGCCTTTTGTTGGTCAGTGGTGGTTGTGTACCTCTGCGAGTTTCTCTAACTAGTTATTGATAAGTAGTGTATATCTAAGCATTATATACTCTCCCTACCGCCGCTTTTACGAGTTTCTCAAACTAGTTGTTGGTCAGTGGTGTTATGCACCTGGTTATAAATATTATATACTCCACTTTTTATCAAGCCAGGAATATAACTCATTATAATATCAGGTTAATCCCAATTTCTGCTTTCTGATCTCAACCTCATCGACTGGCTTGGCCTAGAATATTCTTTTAACCTTATATGCCTTTCTCTTATGAACATGTTATGTCGTTACCTTTCCAATATACCAAAATTAGAAATTAAGCTATATATATGCGATACGATAAAAGCGAAAGAGAAGATTATTAATGAAAGTTCCAATATTGCAGGCGTGAAGGCGAAGGAGGATATCGGATGCGCCCTGGTGCTTTGCATGGCTGGTGCTGGTATGGCGCCCCGCTACCTGGCCGATGTGGTGGCTCTCGACGTACGCCGCACTGGTGACCACTCTCTCACCTTCCGCGGCAACTCGCTGGCAACCAAGAGCATGGAGGCCTACCTCAAGCTGGTCGGCGACCAGTATCTGCAGGTGGGTGTCGATACTCCTTATTGGTTGGCGTGTTGGCTTCGTAATATGTTGTCTATGGTTGTCCCAAGATAACTGAATAACATTTGTACTCCTTACATTTCATCTGAGTAACCGGTATTCACTCCCTTAAAGAAACGCAATTGCAACACACGCGAACAAATAAGCACTAAAAAACAATCATCAAAGTCGGCAAGGCGGAGTGCACCTTGACACACTCGCGTTAAAGTCTAATTTCGCTTGACACGAGACGCTCGGCGAGGCGCTGTGCACCTTGCGCGCTGGCGTTAAAGTCCAATTTCGCTTGTCACTCAGGAGACGCTCGGCGAGGCGGTGTAAGTCCAATTTCGCTTGTCACTCAGGAGACGCTCGGCGAGGCGCTGTGCACCTTGCGCGCTGGCGTTAAAGTCCAATTTCGCTTGTCACTCAGGAGACGCTCGGCGAGGCGCTGTGCACCTTGCGCGCTGGCGTTAAAGTCCAATTTCGCTTGTCACTCAGGAGACGCTCGGCGAGGCGCTGTGCACCTTGCGCGCTGGCGTTAAAGTCCAATTTCGCTTGTCACTCAGGAGACGCTCGGCGAGGCGCTGTGCACCTTGCGCGCTGGCGTTAAAGTCCAATTTCGCTTGTCACTCAGGAGACGCTCGGCGAGGCGCTGTGCACCTTGCGCGCTGGCGTTAAAGTCCAATTTCGCTTGTCACTCAGGAGACGCTCGGCGAGGCGCTGTGCACCTTGCGCGCTGGCGTTAAAGTCCAATTTCGCTTGTCACTCAGGAGACGCTCGGCGAGGCGCTGTGCACCTTGCGCGCTGGCGTTAAAGTCCAATTTCGCTTGTCACTCAGGAGACGCTCGGCGAGGCGCTGTGCACCTTGCGCGCTGGCGTTAAAGTCCAATTTCGCTTGTCACTCAGGAGACGCTCGGCTGGAATAACTCATGGTAATTATAATTAAAAAGAATATGTTCAATTATCTCTAATATATAGAAAACAATTATAAAATATCAGGAACGTTAAAGTTGTCTTGTGGTATTTTATAATTAACTTATTATCTCGGGGTTAAAAGCGTGTATTATAACAGATTTAGAGAAAAGCAAATACTGTATAAAAAATGGTTTCTTAAACATAAAAAGAGCAGTCACATTTAAGTATAATGTTTCGAAATTTTTCAATCATTCTATCACGTTTTAAAGGCCGAGGTGGCGGCTCTGGCATCCCCATGTCATCGTTGACCCGACTACCGTTGGTTTTTCCTTTGATTATTTCCTTCCACTGTCCAGAATACCCCAACGAGCGAGCGGCGCGAAATCTCACACTGGTGGCGAAGACTCTACAGACGTTGGCAAACTTCACTCGTTTCCAGGGAAAGGAGGCCTTCATGGAGTTCCTCAACGACTTCCTCGAACAAGAGGCACCCAATATGAAGGCATTTCTGAGAGCAATTTCGGTACGTTTCATCAGTATAGTTCAATTATTATAAACACTTCATTAAACTCTACCGCTGGTAGATTAATTGCAAACACGATTTACTTAATAACATGTCACGGATCTAGGAATAGTTCGGTGATATTTTTACTTTTATCTAGCTAGAGAATCAGACGGTTTAAATTATCATTGAAAAGCGGAATCATTTGTATTTATCTTTTTTTTTGTTATATCCATTTAAAAGTCATTAATTTAACGAGGCAAAAATCAAGGACACTACAACACCGTCTAACAAATTCTGCTCGCTAAATGTGAGAATAAATTTAAAAGGAAAAACCTTGTCATTCTGCTAATGATGATTATTATAACTTATACGAAACAATAGACTTGTGTACAAGTATGATGAAAATGTAGATGAATTATTGACCTCCACAGACACGGCCCCAGGAACAACAGCAGTCGCCGCAGGAGGGCGGCAAGCGGGAGTCGTGCGCGTCGCAGGGCTCCGGCACGGGCTCGGAGGGCTCGCGGGGCGAAGGCTCCGCCACCGTGGAGCCCGACCCCGACTGGGCGCCCCACGTCGACCTGGGCAAGCAGCTGGCCACCCTCCACGGACTGCTGGTCGACAGTCTGCCGAAGCTGCCCGCTGCAAGGATACAGGTAATTTTTTTTTCCAGACTACTTCATTTTCGTGTTCAACCTCATGAAGCTCTCTTTTCAATTCAAGAATGTACTTGTTGTTGAATGAAACCGTTTCGCGGATTTTTAATTCACGACCTTTCGAATACTTTCCATCGTTCATGGTCACGGGACAGACTGAGTTGTTTCATGTCTTAATTTCAGAGACTCTGGCTGCGGTCAATTATTTTATTATTTATTTTTATTCTATGCTCTTATTTAGCAGATGCCCTGAATACTTTGTCAGTGCTGTTTTGTGCTAACACGAAAACATCCATTAGTTACTTTTACTCACATGGGAAGTTTGCTGCAATGTTAATGTTATTAAAACTACTCATCATAATTGTCAATCATTTATCAAATAATTAACTATCGAAATATTTTGATCCATGCTTTACTTGTGCCAAAGACATTTAAATGAGACTACCAAACTATTTTTAGGAGCTGGAACCACTGTCAGATATATTGGAAGAACTCAGTAAGAGATTAGCGAGTAACGACAACGGACCTATGGCACCAATATCCGACAACATCTTTAGGTATGCTTTATAACACACGTTTTACAATGTAAGAAAGAAAGAAAGAAAATAGATTTATTAACCAAAAATTACGCACACAACAAAAAATTTAACAAAATATATAAGAAATATTTCTTTTCTCTATTTCATACACATATACACAGAAATAATAATAAACAAACGTTTTTTTGTATGCCTAGGTTCAACGATCCCACTTGCAACACGCCGACGAAGCACAGCAGCGCCGAGGCGCCTCCGAACGGCCAGCTGAATAGCAACTTCGCGCACAGCTCGCCGATCATGAGCAAAAACGGAGTCCAATTCAACATCAGCCCGTCGAAGTCGAACGCCGACGAGTCCAAATACAAAGGCGCGTACGTCTCCAAGTCGCCCAGTTTCAATCCGCGCTCCGCCACGTTGCCAAGAAACGGCTACGGCACCAATCCGAACAATCAGAGCGTGAACCCGGACAGGTACAGCTCGCAGTACAACAATCAAGAGCACTGCGTCAACCTCAAGGTCGTCCAGATAGGCTTCGGCTCCGACCAATACCCAAAGGGCATAAGCAACGGCCTCAACGAGAGCCTCGAGCGGCGCTTCCAGGACAGGTACAAGCCGAACTACAACCAGCAGCAGCCCCACTTCCACAACAGCAATTACGCCGCGGAGAGGTCACCGAGCAGCGACAGCGTCAACCACAACTACTGCGCCAACGACATGCAGAACATCATGAAGGAGACGGCCACGCTCGAGGAGCTATCGGACCTGCTCAAGTACGCGGACGACTCGGACATCGTCGACGACAAGCTCAACAACAAGAAGAACGTGTCCCAGTCGAAATCAACAAACAACAACAACAATAACAACAACAACATCGTCAACGGAAACAACAAGTCCGGCTACACGAACAACGGCTCCAACGTCTCCATCAGCGGCCTGTCGAACGTTGCGAGCTCCGGCTACCAGAGCATCGCCACTTACAGCCAGAGCTCCAGCCCCATAGAGAACGCCGCCCACCACCACCAGGCCTACGAGAACGGCGGCCAGCCGATGAGCCGGTACTCGCAGCTGAACTATCAGAAGCAACGGGAGAAGCAGTACTACGACAGCAAGAACGAGAAGTTCTACCCGAAGAGTCCGGTGCAGCAGAAGATCGAATACGACATCCAGAAGTACGGTATACAGAACTTCACGACGGCGGACAGCGTGCAGGCGATCGCGAACGCCAATCCGAAGATAGCGCCGCTGGTATTCACCAACCCCGTGTACAACATGGACGACAATCGGCAGCCGCAAGAGAAGAACGCGAACGGCGAAAACAGGAACTCCAAGCGCTGTCCATGTGGCTCATCCAGTTCATCCATCGATGAGGAGGGCTTGAGCACAGACAACGCGGAAACAAACTCGGAGGAGGGCTCCGCCAACTTCAACGACGATGGCAGGAACTATGACCAACAGAACCGCAACAGTACCCACCGCAAACTCACCAGAGATAATTGTAACTACGAAGACTTGTACCAGGTGAGCAACCATAGCCATTCCCCTAGGATAAGGGACGACGAGTCGTCCAGCAACTCGCCAAGCTTAAGGATGAGCAGCAAAACCCGAATGCCGCGAACCAATCCGATGCTCTCGTACTCGACGAATCAGAATCAGCTCAATTTGAAGCACTTCGGCCAGAGAGGGGACACCACTTACGAGAGCAAGCCTCATCACATATCGACCGACTCCGGTTACCCGATGAGCCGGTCAGACTCCAACGTCGAGGAAGTGAACAAGGAAATGTACCGGCTCCAGATATCGAGGAGTCAGAAGGCGCTGTACAATATGGAGAACTCGAAGAGCTCGTCCGAGAAGTTCACGGCCACCGAGAACACCATACCGGAGACGAATTACCCTCTGGATAGAGCGTACTCTGGCGCGAAGGTGTCGGGCAGCAGGCTGAACGAGGATCTGGAGAGGCACCAGGAGTACTACGGGATGAGGGAGAGGAGGGACTCGCCGAGCCGGGCGGTGTTCGGGAGGGAGTCCCAGTCGAGTGAGGCCAGCGAGAGGGTGAACGTGAGGGAAGCCCGACCAGAGCGCGAGATTTCCGCGAGGGACAAGCTGCAGAGGCGCCTCAGCTTGGAGTCCGCGCGGGACCTTACCGACAGCTCTGACGAGGTCGACGAAACGCTCTACAGCACCACGGGGCGGCGACGCACCTCCAAACACCATAGGACTATCGAACAGGTACTTATTTGAAATAAGTGTTCTTCAATCCTAATATTATAAAGGCGAAAGTTTGTAGGTATAGATGGATGTTTGTTACTCTTTCACGCAAATACTACTGAATGGATTTTAATGAAACTTTACTACATTATTTGTTTCAGTATGAGCGTGAGATCGAAAGGTTAAAGTGTTCGGTGGAATTGTTGCGAGGACGGCTCGGACCTGCTGAGCCTGGACAAGATCACACCGATGCCAAAATGAAGGCGATTATATCCAGGTATTTCATGTTTGGAATATTACAATGTCCATAATGTTTGTATGGATCGATGAATGTAATTTACTGACTCAACCTAACTACAGGGATCAGCAAGAGGCTTAACTATTTTTCAACTTGTAATATCAATTTAAATACGAGTAAAAAGACAAATTTGTTGAAAAATTATCAGCACTGTCGGATTGTAACTTGTGTCTTCTCTGTAACGCGTCACTTGAGTGCACTAATAAAAAAGTAAGTGGTTAAGCACATAATAAGTTATACTTCTTTAGCGTAAAGACAAAATGCAATTGATAATGTTTTATAATAACTTTTGAACGATTTTTTGTAAATGTCAAAAAGTTATCGGTTGCCAAGATCAGAGAGAATGTAATCATTACGTTAACCAAGATTAAATTTGGTAACCAAGCATCATGTCGCGCGCATCGCAAAATTTTACTCTCATAATTTTTTCCAAACGCACCAAAAGTAGTATAACTTCGAAAAAAAAAAGATAGCTCAGTGTACAGGCGCACGCCTTTAATTCAATATACTTGAGCAACCCGAGTTCGATCCCCGGTGCCGGCACCAGTGAAATTGTAAATTTCAAGTTTTGAATTATCACGTGCTCAGCGGTGAAGGAAAATATCGCGAGGAAACCAGCATATTTCCGAAATAATTATAAAAAGAAAATATTTCGAAGATATGTAAAGTCCGCCAATCCCCAGTGAGGCTGCGTGGTGGACTATGCCCTGATACCCTCTGTACAGAGGAGGCCTTTGCCTAGCAGTGGGACATGTATAGACTGGTACTTGCTTTTTACCAAACGATTAACTTCTAGACGGTTAATTTGCAGGTTAATCTGCGTGGAGGAGGAGCTGAGGCGGGAGCAGCGCAAGATGGCGGCGGCGTTGTCGCACAAGCAGCGCGTGATTGAAGCGCAGGAGCATCGCATCGCGGCGCTCGACGAGGCCAACACCCGCCTTCTGTCGGCGCTAGTACACCTCCAGCAGAGGGCGCCACACCCGGCGCCCACGCACTCCCACCACGAGTTGCAGATATAACTTCATTATTCTATAGTAATGTCGCGCGAAACTTAAATGCGCGTGGACTGTACTGTACTGGCGAGTGCATAAATCTTGTTATCGCTTAACAAAACCGCGTATCTGATGTCTGAAGAGTTTATCTTCACAAAACCAAACAGCAATGTTGTCCGCGACTGTACACAGACTTGCATCAGGAGCAAGATGCGTCGTGAGCGAAACGGCAAATATTGCAAGCCGCGTCCAAGTCAGTGTATACTACAATTACTTGGACTAGTTTTATAGGCGCATTTAAGTTTAGCGGGTATTGTATAACTATCAAGTGGGAACAAACAAACGGCATGTGCCTCGCTTCATTCTTTAAACGCTTTCACTGTCAAGTTGTTATGTATGGAATGACCTTGATGCGGAAATAAATGAGCATGCAATTTTAATGATTATTCGGAGTGAAATTTTTAATGTAATTTTTTTAAATAAAATTTAATTAATTCTGGAACCAATAAAATTAAATATTATTTGAATTTTTCACATAAATATTATGTGGAGCTAAGTATCATTGTTTATTTATTTCCGGTAGAGGTACTATCGTTCAGTTGACACTATTGAGTGAATTTATTGTATAAAATATAAGCACCATTTAATACTTATACTCCATGACACAACATCTCACAACCACAAAAATTTCATCTTACATTTAAAAATAACTTGGTTCTTAAGATTGAAAGGCATTTTTATTTATTATACTTTTATTAATTGCAATACTGATCCCGTTGTTCGCATTTTAATATACCAATGCACATAATGCTTAGAGCCTTAGTTGTTCTACTTTGCTTGTGTTCATAACAAATTCTTTAAATTACTTGTTTTAAAATAATGTTTTATTATGAATACTATGTGTAAAATAGGAATATTTCAAGGAAGCATGTATTTTTGTTCGTAAGCAATTTAACTTCTACAACATTATTGAGATTCAAATAAATGTTTAATATTTTTCATTCTAACATTTTCAATTGGATCACAACTGTTCTAGCGATTGCTTTGTAATTTTTGTTGAATGTTGTTCTTTAGTTTTATTATGTGAAGATGCTTTAAACGACTTAAATTTTTTGTTAAAATATCAGTATTCTCTATATTAAATCCGATTTGATGGTCCCAAACAGACATCAAAATCTTGTTTTGTTTTCTGTAACAATGATACCAAAGACGATTGAATATCCTTTAGAGTAGAATTGTAGTGTGTGGTAGATCACTACAGTTGTAGCTCTAGTGTTGTATTTTAAAAAAATAAAATGTTATAGTTTTTATAAGAAATAATATAAGACTTGTATAATAATAATATTAGCATATGTTTAATTGTACTAGAATTGGTATACAAAAGAGAAAATATTTTTAATACCTTTGAGTATTATAATGCGGACATTGTAGTATCGTAATGATAGTAATTTTTAATAACAAAAATATAAAAATTAATTCATTTTAGTTGCATTTTGAAAATGCCCCTTGAACAAATAATTTCACTTATCACTATTGAAATTGATTTGCATATAAAACTAAAAATCGACAACTTAGTTGTTTACAGTGAAAATATTTTTAAGCCATAACTGTATGTAAATATACCTAATAGGTATATATTATTCTTATCACATTAAATTATGCATTACGTATTTTATACTTTTATTTTCCCTCTCTAAATTAAGTGTAATTCTATCAATTAGGTTGTCATGACAATTTTATAGGCCTCCAAAAACAGAGTTGAAAGAAATGTTGATTATGTGAAATGTTTAAAAATATTGTTCAATTGTTACAATTTCTTTCTTAGACCGGATGGACTACACATAGCGTGTGCTGTGAACGATGCGGATAAATAAGTTAGTTCAAAGTTTTTTTCTTTATATTTTAAGTGACATTGGCAGTAACTATTTGCTACTTTTCTGAGGGCTGGTATTAATTTAATTATCTACAATGATTTACAAATGTATAGATAGTAATATTAGTATTACTTGATGACTCCGTGGCGTAGTTGCCAAGGTATTGGCTTCGGCGTCGAGGGTTCGATTCGGACACGGTACAACTATTTGTGTGACCCACAGATAATTGTTCCGAATCTGGGTGTTTTTACGCGGGAAATTTATGTTTGTAAAACGTCCTTACAACACAGGATAATGTTATCCTAAAGTAAGGGCAATGTTTAAAAAAAAGATATTTATGGGTAACCGATTGTGATACAACGAATTTGTGCTGAAACTTCTACTACTGTCTAAAAAATAACAGCCTCTACATGCCCCACTGCTGGACAAAGGCCTCTGCGCAGAGGGTAATCATACCCTGATAGTTCACCACGCGGCCCCACTGCGAATTATCGAACCACATATCTTCGAAGTATTTTATTTTTGTTATTACTTCGAAAATATGCAGGTTTCCTCACGATGTTTAACCTTCACCGCTGAGCACGCGGGGTTGGTACTCCGGGGATTGAACTCTGGTTGCTCGGGTATATTAAATTAAAGGTGAGCGCTCGGACACTGAGCTATCACGGCTCAAAATATTGTTCATAGATTTGGGATATGACTTGCAGACTGGAAGTCTTCAATGTGTCGCCAGTGATGCTCTACAGGGGATGCTTGGTCCTGTACTGCTGGCCGTATGAAGCCCAAAGTCGCGTAGTAAGCAAAAAGCGAGCTATTATCGATACTTCTCTGCTTGAGTTCGCAATGACATCCGCATTAAAAAAAAGGTAACCGACATAGCTTCGAAGATTAGTAAGCCCATATCCCATAAGGAAGAAAGGTTCTCGAGTGGCAGCCTCGTATTGTCGATCGTAGTGTAGTATGACCCCCCACCACAAGATGGAGTGACGACCTGTGCAAATGTGCAGGCAGTCGATGGATGCAGGTGCCTCCGGATCGTGTTTCATGGCAGTCTATGTTGAGCAGTGGATTCTATCCGGCTGAAATGATGACGCTGAGAAGAAGATTTAGTCTAAATTTAATTTTAATGAGGCAGTAGTTTAAGAAGCCATGCCGCAGGATAGATACCATTTTTATATTTTTTTTATTCACGCCTTAGACAGTGACCTGGCCGGGGCTTATTCTTGTGGAAATATTGTTTTGAAAAGAGGTTCAACGTTAATAACGTTTTATTGAGGTATCAACGTTAGTATTTGGATAATAATAAGTGTAAATTTATAGTACATAATAATCTTTCTTCCTAATATATTACGCTCGTAGGTTCTCGCTAACCCGCGAGTTATATATTCGATGAAGCTTTAATAGTCTCGGACTGGAATCAAAATTTTTTATTTAAAGTAAAATTATAGTTCTTTCTCGATTATAATAACGGCAAACCGACACATCGATCACAAAAAAAAATACACCAGTAAAACATTATTGATTAACCCTCTACCGACAATCGCTCTGAATTATGGAGGATCTAAAAATTTAAACAAGCCCGTGGGATAGTCAGAAAGCAAAAAAACAGAAATTTATTAAAAATTGAATTTCGATGAATCCGCGACGTAACCAATTTTGTTTCAAAGTAAAAGATACTTTTAGCGTCCACGCAACACGTCTGTAAACAAGATACGCATGATGTCACTCGTCACGTTCCTCAGCTTTGAAGCAGATATAACGTTTGTTCTCCAAATTTCTTTTCCGTTCAGCGGTTTCCGTTACACTGTACGGATGCATCAAGGTTAAATCCTCGACTTTATCGCATAGATATGAATAATATATTTCACGAAACTTCTTATCCGGAAACTGAGCTTGGCACATCGTCGGCCACAGCATGTTATTGAAACGCGCGAACGATTTGAACAATTCCAATTTATACTTGCGCGTGTACTTCGCGAAGCACTGTGCTAGATCTTGTTTATGCACCCAGTTAGTGTGGCCGGCGTATTTCGGGTCTTTTCGCGGGTTCACGTGTGTGTAACTCTTTAGCGAGAGGGTCCAAAACTTCTGCCAGTCATTGATGCTCCTATGCAAAATGCGCGACCTCTGCTTGGGAGTGTAGGGGCCGTGAATGCGATTCCGCATCCACTCCTTCAACTCAGGCACCAAATGAATTTCGGGTAGCCTCGCAGCTATGTTGTTGCGCCTCATCGTTCTGAGCGCACACCTGAGGTAATCTTCGGGCTTCATGTTGTCGCCAAGTGTACTATTAGAATGTTTTCGTTTGGATTTCTTTTTATCTTTTTTACTACCGTCCTCGTCACCCCCAGCCCGCAGCATGCTGTCCGTTTCCCAGTGCCTCTTGAATTGTTTCTGTACGTAAAGGTTTTTTTCGTCCAAATTGTAGATCGTCTGATAGTTAAAGCGGAACGTTGTATTGCGCGTTGGTTTCTCGAAGTACGCCAGCTCATCCGGCAAGAACGCGCCCTCGTTCCCGTAGTCGTAGTAATGTTCGCAATAGCATTTACTGGCCTTGAGGTATTCGAATACAGAGTCGTGCCACTTCGCTACGCAATCGCATGGGTCGGGAGGGGGAGGGGGCGGGAGCGCGCGAAATCCACAATGCACGTTCATGTTCGCCCCATTGATGCGTGCATAGCCGCCATGTATCATATATCCGTCCGGCGGCAAGACGGATACCGTACCAAGGAGGTATACGTATCTGTTGTTGACGATGCAGACACCTTGTATCAAATACTGCGAGTTCTTCATACCTGTGGTGGGAGCCACTGGTTTCTTGCGGCGCACTTTCTTCTTTATTGACGTTCCAATGCCGTACGACTTTCCCTTGTCCTCGAGGATACTGATTCTGGAACTTCTGCCTTTTCGTGCGTAGCTGGGGCGCGTTAAGGGTTTCATTGATATTTTGTCGGCTGAGATTTCACGCTCTAAAGGAATAATACCAGCCAACTTGTCACAATATGAACGCGGCAGTCTCTTTCTAGGCGGGGGTGGAGGTGGCGGCAGCGGTGGTGGTTTACGAATAAGCGGCTCAAGTTCATAAGGTTCGCTGAAGTCCAGTTTTGGTAAAGGCGGAGGGCGCCTTGGTTTACGTTTCGGCGGTTGGTACAGACACGCTACCATCTCTTCGAGGTAAGGAGATTCTAGTTGGGGTTTAACTTTAGGTTCCGGTTTAGGTTCCGTAGACTCCTCCCAGTCCATATGAAACATGGCATCAAGGGACTGTTTTAAGTTCTGCATGCCCAAGTAAAGTATTCCGGATAGCAAGAATTTACCGTTAAGGTTATAGACGGCGCGTTTGCCGTCTATCGAGTGACCGAATATCAAAGCGAATAAATTTGCAAGCATCTGTTTCGGATCTTTGCGGCCCGTGATCACGCAATGCATGAGGTCTTCCGTGTAAGGGCGCGGATGTAAGCCCAGTTGGCGCATAACTTGATCCGTTTTGACCGGACGACCCTCTAGCACGTCTTGATATATAGAAAATTCGAGTGTGTCCAAGGCTCTCCTTTGAGGTTCGCTGAGTTCGTAGTACCAGTTTGGCCCGATTGACTCGATAATTCTTTTCATAAAACTTTTGTGCCTTCGTTTGCGTACTTCCTTCAGTTCATCCATAAATATTTTTCTCTCTCTTGTTTTACGTTTGTAAATAACTTCCACTCTGCGAGGAACAATATCGACGTTGTTATTGTCATCATGATTGTTCTGCATGATTTTCAAAATAAAAATATAAACAAATATCAATAAAAAGCTAGTGATTTATTCTATGTATAACATTAAATTAAAAAGGCCTGACAGTGTCAATTGTCATCTTGAAGTCTTTGATTTAAAAACTCATTGCTTTTTTACCAACAAAGTATGTTTATCTAGATACTTTATAATTCATAACTTACAATAAAATATGGAGCGATTCCATATACGTTTTTTTTAAAGTCATTACCAATTTGTAATGCAAATGCTACAATCAATTTCACAATTTCACAACATCCATTAAACAGCGCCATCTAGTGTTGAGTGGCAAATGTAAAACTAAAAATAATGTATTTTTTAATAGTTACCGAAACTTATCCAAATTCAAATTAATCATGCCCTATATATTATTATAATCATGCCCTTAAAATTGATATTTCACAAAAATATAAAAATAATGTAAAATCGTTTAAAATAAATACTTTACATAAAATTTTCACTCTCGACTTTTTGTATACTTGTACTCGGTCACGTGAATAACTAAGGTTTTTTTTTAAACATTTGTTTACGTGAATAACTAAGGTGTTTTTAAACATTTAAATCCTGATATTACACATACTTTATAGCTAGATTCAGTGATAAAGTCCATATTTTTTATTTTACAGAATAACGGGAATGCAAATCATTCATAACGATTGCTTTGATAACGATGGGTATATTTTATATCAATCGTTCGGAAGCGATTTTCGTATTATAATTTTTCGAATTGTCGTATCATGCTACATTATTGTCATACATAATATTCCAAAATGCTTGAGAGAAGTAATCAAGGGATTTGTGGCGTCAATCGTCATTTGAGCGAACGCGAATAAATCACGCATGCATTAAGTAACGGGGTGGCGGCGCGTCGGCTGTTTGTTAGTCATGCCGGGTCGGGGGCCGACGCGGCGTGGCGATCAGCTGGCTGAAACTCGGCCGGTCGAAGACCCGCCTAGGGTTAACGTCCCTGCCTCCATCCATCACCTGAATAATTCGTCGTCTCATTCATACGCACCGGCGAGCACATCTCAATATTTGAGCACCGTACGTCGCCCCGGAAACCATCAATCAAGCGGAACGACCGGCGTCGATCCCGCGAAATGTTAAATCGATTGATTCCGATCTGTTGCGGTTGGTCAATAGAGACTGACCACGCCGAATATTGAACTTAAGCTTGTGGGCGTTGCAAGTACGCTCTCGCGATGTTCTGCTACATAGTTTCCACATAATATTTAACAAAACAATGATTAAACGTTAAAACTTGTAGAAAAAGTGCGAAAAGATTGACGCCGCTGTGGGAATCGAACCCACGTCTTCGGCATTCGCGGCCTGACGCTTTAGCCACTGAGCTAAACGGCTGATTGCCACACGGACGAAAATCTTAACGTCTTTTATCTACATTGTTTTTTAGCATTTGAAGCAATGCTTGGCGCATCTATTGTTATATCCTTTCCAGCATACAAACAATTTTGAATATCGTTCTACAACGATAACTCAAACGATAGATCTCGCCATTGCTTTTTAGAAATTTATAGTGCTAATCTCTGCACTTAAGATTAAACATTAAAACTTGTAAAAAAAGTGCGAAAAGATATATATATTGCATATATACAAGGAAAAAAAGATTCAAAAGGTCAAACTTTGCTAATGAAAAAAGCCAACGTAATCAAATTAGAAGAATCATTTAGCGAAGGTACGTTGAACTAACTTTCTTGCATTTCTATTGAAAGAGATATCTATCTCGCATCGGCTGCGTCTAGGCAGCTCACGAGGCGTTCACTTTCTTCGCGTCAGGAAGTATTCGAGTCCACTTTCACTCCATTCAAGATCACAGCCGCTCGTTCCGCCAACTGTTCTGTCTGCTAACAATAACTCGACGCCGTCGTTAGATAGCTCACTGACTTTACTTTCCCGTTCATGTTCGATTGGATTTCGTTTAGCAACGGTTTTTCATTGGTTACCTTAATGGACAACGGTGCAGTTGTCATTAATGCGTGCACATCTGTCATATAATTCTTTTTTAGATACCCCCAACCGTGTGTTGTATTATTTATATCGTGATGATTGAGATTTGAAGGTATGAGAATCAATAAAATCTGCAGATGATGTAATTGTAGATGATGATTAATATGTATAAGATGATACCGCTAGAAATGCGTTTGCCCTTAAATAGTCATTCAAAAAAGACGAATTTCTTATCAGACTATGTCAATATCATGGTTTATGGGCAAACTAAGGAGTAAATCATTAGTAAATTAATTCATACGACATTTAATTTTTTTGTAGATTATTACTGTTTTTGATATTTTTATAACGCAATAAAATAAGTTACAACAGATAATTACCAGGTTTGTGTAATTAGCTCTAATGCTTTCAAATTTGTGTATTGTAATAAGATCTGACGAGTAGATGTCTGTCATTAGTTGAAATATTGTTTTAAACAAAATAATGTGGTTCCGTACATTTAAGTAAATCACAAAATAAAACTTCCATCTTTGCAGTGGTAGGGTTATTTTAAAAGTTATTAAATGTTATTAATTACAATCCGTTAGAATATTAAAATAGGGCAAGACTCCTTTACACAGACAACGGGAATACCAAACGAGAAAATAACGATCTTTAGATTCGTCATGCTGTGCTCTGTCTTCTTCTTGTGATGACTCCGTAGCGCAGTTGCCAAGGTATTGGTTTCGGCGTCAGGGGTCGTGGGTTCGATTCCCACACGGGACAACTATTTGTGTGACCCACAGATAGTTGTCTCGCATCTGGATGTTTTTCCGTGTGAAATGTATGTTTGTAAAACGTCCTTACAACACAGGATAATGTCATCAGAACGTAAGGGCAATGTTTATAAAAGAAAAGAAAAAAGTCTGACTTTATTAATATTCAATAATAGACCATAGACGCCTGTGTATCTGTTACGATATAAAAACGTAGCTTTTAATTTTATGAGTTTGACCAAATATTTTTTCCATAACATTCCAAATATTTTTTAACTAACTTTACATGAAATTTATTTAGCCTAGATTGCTTCAATCCATTGCAACGGGCAATGACTTTATCGTATCGTAAGTACGTAATAAGCACATGAACAATCTAAGCAATGCAAAATCAGGTTAACTTCAGGAATTGTTTTGTTAGAGCGATTTCAGGCACCATTTCCCCGGCGGGGTCGTTGACCGAGCTCTTATCTCGTATGCATGTGAGTGTGCACGTGTCGCGGCCGTTCTAGCGCTGCGCCTGCGTCCATTGTAGGTTGCAAGTGAAAGGGGATAATGCGGGACATTTCCGGTTTTTTAACACATTACCAGGCTATAAATGAGAAAAGTTCAATTATTCAAATAGAAAGGGACATAGGCTTTCAAGAGCCAATGTCAATATAGAGTCAAATATTTAATCCGAACCATTTTGCTCAATAAAATGAGGCCATGTCTATAAGTTGTTGGAGATAACTTACTGACAATTTTTTGACAACTCCTGGTAGACGAACCAGCCTGGTTCGAATGGTAAAGTACTACAGCCTCACGGAAGACCGGCGTACTTTGGCATTTCATCGTGGCAGTTTATATAACTTGAGCTAACGAGTTCAATGGTTGGAAACATCATAACATTTACTTAAAATGTTATTCAGTAATTATTAATTGTATTATTTCAAACTTTCACTCACGATTGGCATTTTTTACAATTTTTTGGTGTAAAAAAATGTCAAGCTGGCAAGAAAGGCTGGTTCACCTGATGAAACCCACCGCCCACGGACATCTGCAACACCCAATGGCTTGCTAGTGCATTGACAACCTAAAATAATATTACATTGTTTATCCATAATTATCTTTTTTGCATTATAAACACTATAAAATAATAAACAAGACATGTTAAAACTGACAATACTACAGATTTATTAATGTCAGTTTCAATATGACTCAATCTCGACCGATACCAGGAATAGTCAACTAAAGTCAAGTTATAGATCAATCAGTCAATATAATGTTACTTTTTAATACAAGCAAGAGGATTTATAATTCTACAACTGTTATATCCCACAAAATAATTGAGCAACATTGTCACCCCAATCGTCCGTATGTGTATTACTTGCGAGCGCACATTATTATGCAACGCTTATGGGCGGATAAGCCGCTCTATCAAAAAGCACATCAAAACTTTATTTATAGAGTAAAGGTTATTGTTTTAGTTAGTGAGTGAGGCCGCCGACAATAAATACGATGCAGAAGCAGTAGAGGTTATTGCCTATACTTTCTGCAACCAATCAACAACATTGATGCATATTAAATGAAACTAGTTTACGGATTTTATCGCGTTTCGTAAACTAGTTTAATTTAATATGTATAATATTCGCGTAAAATCAATATTGATGAAGGTATATTAATGTGTCAAAAACTGATATGTACGTATTTTGTAGACATATTCCCTTTTCATATTCCTAGTTATATTATTTGGTTAGCTACATATAATATGGTAAAGTTTATTTTATTATACTGCAACATGTAGCTTCGTAAACAAAATCTTTCTGAAAGATGTCTTATATATTATCATGACGTATTAGTTATGTACAACTATCTGAAGCTAATTAAATCGATTATGATAACATGATTTAAATAATATGTACTCGGTTGTTCCTTTCTGTTATTCGAAAATTTCGAATACCTACAGAGGATACCTGATAGAAACTATCATTATCCTGTCTATCATGAGAAGGAGCATGCTCAAAAAGTTTTTAGGGAATTTCGAAAATAGAAAGAAATAAAGCAGGAAATTAATGATGATAAATAAGATGAAATGCCTTAACTATTTCTATTTCAGTGAAATAGTTATGGAAATTTCATCTTTGCTAAACGGATACTGCAACGAACGTAGCCGTACGAACCCGGTCATATTGTATGCGTGACTCTGCCTAGGTGAAGTCTTTCAAGCTCGTGACAACTTATCTTTTACACATACAACACGTACTCTGTGCGCGTAAAGCT